TCACTAAGCTGCTGGGGCGTGAGAGACTCACGTGAACGTCGCTGGGGCTGCATCTGGCCACCGGCCAGTAGCAGTAGCAGCAGCAGTAGCGCGGGCAGGGCAGGCGCGGCAGGCCGACAGGCAGGCAGGCCGGCAGGCAGACAGACAGACAGGCCGGCAGGCAGGCAGGCAGGCAGGCAGGCAGGCAGACAGGCAGGCCGGCAGGCAGGCAGGCAGGCAGGCAGGCCGGTAGGCAGGCAGGCAGGCAGGCAGGCAGGCAGGCAGGCCGGTAGGCAGGCAGGCAGGCAGGCAGGCAGGCAGGCCGGCAGGTAGGCAGGCAGGCAGGCAGGCCGGCAGGCAGGCAAGCAGACAGGCAGGCCGGCAGGCTGGCAGGCAGGCAGACAGGCAGGCCGGCAGGCAGGCAGGCAGGCCGGTAGGCAGGCAGGCAGGCAGGCAAGCAGGCAGGCAAGCAGACAGGCAGGCCGGCAGGCAGGCAGGCAGGCGCTCACCAAAGGCTGGAAGAGCAGGCGCTCGCCGGGCGAGCAGGGCCGGCGCTCAACGGGCGGCGGCGGAGTAGGCGCACGACAGCGGCGACGTCGGGGCCGCAACACCCGGTGCAGAGTAGGGCCGAAGCAGCTGCAGGGCGGGGCCGCTTCAGCGGCAGGTCGGGGCCGTGGCAGCTGCAGAGCGGGGCCGTATCAGCGGCAGGTCGGGGCCGAGGCAGAGGGACGCGCGCGGCTCGGCGCGGGCTGCGCTGACAGCGCGCTGGGCTGCTGCAGGCCGCGCGCGGCCGCGCTAGGCAGTGGCGAGCCGCGCGCGGCTCGGCGCGGGCTGCTGCGGGCCGCGCGCGGGCTGCTGCGGGCGGCGCGCGGGCCTCGCGAGGCAGGAGTAGGCCGCGCGCGGCTCGACGCGGGCTGCGCGCTGCTGCAGCGGGCTCCGTGCGGCTCGGTGCGGGCTGCGCGCGGCTGCAGCGGGCTGCGCGCGGCTCGGTGCGGGCTGCGCGCGGCTGCAGCGGGCTGCGCGCGGCTCGGTGCGGGCTGCGCGCGGCTCTGTGCGGGCTGCGCGCGGCTGCAGGGGGCTGCGCGCGGCTCTGTGCGGGCTGCGCGCGGCTCGGTGCGGGCAGCGCGCGGCAGCAGCGGGCTGCGCGCGGCTCGGTGCGGGCTGCGCAGGCCTGGAGGGCGTGTAGGGGCGGCGCGCGGGCCTTACGGGCCTCTAGGGGCAGCGCGCTGGCCTAGGGCAGCAGGAGGCAGCGCTAGGGCTGCTGGACGGCTCGCGTAGTGCAGCACGTCACAAGGCAAGGCAAGGCAGGCAGGTACGTGGGGTAGCGCGGTAACCGCAGTGGTAGGTGGGCCCGAAAAAAAACGGTCCTACGGACCTTAGTGCTCTGAAACCATGTTAGAATCTGGCAGCAGGAATGATGAACTAACAGCATGCAGGAGTACAAGTAGGAAACCCTAATTTGGTTGTACCCCATATGGGCTACCCCACTACAGCCTAGACAATATGCAGCATACATGTTTGACACTTCCGTGAGGGAATCACGATCTGACAAATTTTTGGGAAAGGGGGGGGGGGGGGGGGGGGGGGGTTCCCTGTACGCTCTTCAGTGTAATCTTCGCTAAGGGAAAATTTACCCCAAGGCATCAGTGTGGCCTATGTCGATACATTTACAGATCACTGTAACACTAATTCTCCAAAAAATGTACCCCAGCACATCAGTGTAGACCCAAAATTTCACCCTTGTAATCAGTGTAGAAGGGTAAATTACACTGATAACCTGAGCCCTGGGCGCAGGATTGTCGAGATGTTTTCGTGCCCTAAACAACCAATCCCTGCTCGTTTTGTTCAATCGTGTGAAAATTTCGAGCTATAACTAGATGTCCATATACAGGCAGATGGGCCTAACATTTGGGACCGCGTGCGATGGCTCGTCCTAGATGCGATTGCATGCAATTCGCAAGTGACTTTTCCATGGTGCGCGTGCTTCTCACGCGGTCTGGAATCCCGACGCCTGTCAGCATATGTTGTATTTACGCGTCACAATCGATTGCGACGCTTTCTTAAGGGACATGTCCAGAGCGGAATGTACCCTTAGTGCATCAATACTGTAGCAATATCTTTGACCAACATCTTTGTCCTTCATCGCACCCGTAGTGTAGCTCAATTACATCATCGTCAAGAATCGATTTACGGCGCCAAGCCAGTATTGTAGCATGTGGAGGTTCCCTGCTGCCATGCACCCTTTTTCAACGATTTCTAGGTTGCCTTCACCCAAGCTGGGGGGAAGGGGGGGAAAAAGAGGGGGTTGACGAGCACAGAAACTTTCCAGTCAATTTCAGGTCACATATTCTACACTACACATTGGCACAGCACCGCATTGACTCCGCACAAAACTCAAACTTACCTAAAATGTCACTTCAACGTGGGGTTTGCATTCAATTGCTTCACGAGCAAGTTTATCAAGGCCATGTTTGAAGAACAAGTCCGTATCTAGTGTCCAACAATGTGTGAGATGGAACGCAGCTGAGCTCGTGAAACACCACTATAGCAAGCTCAGTTAGTAAATAGATTGGCAAGACATGCTACATAGACGGTCAAGACAGGGTCATCTTGTTCCCTTCCCAACGTAAGGGAAATCCGAACACATACCATTTACAGGATAGTGCTGTACATCAGAATCATGTGAGTAAAGGCACATTGATTGATAACCCTCAAGCCTAAGAACCACCTCGTATGTCGAACACTACCGTCAAACCATCCTCTAGCGTGATAGGAAAGAACACTAGGTGTAAACATTCTGCCACAAGGTTTCCTTGGGTTCAAAGCAAGGTGTACATTTACTCTATTTGCTAGCCATGGGCACCAAAAACTTCCAGCAATCAACGACTTCGCTAACAGCTCACGAAACTAGCCATATATGGCAGGTGTTGCAATTTGGCGTCATGCCAATGTACGAGCAGATTGTCAGAATGTGGAATTCTTATATAATTACATGCATAGCTATTAGTGTATGATCATCCTATCTTGACGTTAGCTAGTAGTGGGATACCTCCCTTGACCACCTCCTCTTTCTTATATCTTGTACTCCCATTGTTATTGCAACCCATCTTCTTTTGCTAACTCCTCTCTTCCCAAAACCCTAAGGCTCCTAACCCAAGTTTGACACAGATCTGCAGTAGGCCTCTGAGTGTCAAAGCTCAATCCATCAACAACCCTCATGTGAACACCTCAACACATGTACGAAAACGACGTTTTCTTACTAGAGACTAGGTTAGCTAGAGAAGTTCGTTAGGGGAGTGTTGAGGCGAAGCCTTGCAGGTCTTAGGTCGGCAATAGTCTATTTGCTATTGTCTATCATGGTCTCCAGGACCACATGATTCCAACAATATTCTGTATACCTGGAGTGATTTCTGAATACTTGATACACAATTTCTCAATACTTGGTATGCGGTTCACTCAATAACCGAGAAGTACAAAAAACAAAGAACTTAACAGCACTGTGCGGAATATCGAAGAACTTACCAGATTCAATGAACAACACAATTTAAGCATTTGAGAAAGTGGTATGCGGTTCGCGGGACGCAGCCTCCGCATTTCACCTCGAGTCGTGCGCGGAACCGAGTTCGGTGATCACCACCAACACCAAAACCTTTTGTCACATAAGCACCGGACGTGGTTCGGTTTGCGGTTGGAAAAGTTAGGTTTGCGGAAAACATCTTCTCGACATTTGCAAGCACCTGAACACCTACGTAGGTAGAAAATGCATCTGATGATGTTTTCACCTGCCGTTCCTAGAAGTAGTTCAACAACGTTGAACGTTCTTGAACATTGAACGTTCTCTTTGAACGTTCTTGCACTCACCACTTTGCGTCCCACATGGTGCATTTACCCATCAGTCAATTTCGTTCCTTTAGTGGACATTAGGTATGCGCTTTGCGAATGACACAAGCCTGTTCCTACGAGTCCGGATACGAGATACTCAAAATTCTCGCCGATCTTCGACCGTTCAACTCTGCACTTAGGCTCAACTAGAAACACCCATTCACTACAATTGGGTCATACTACCGCCACCATTTCCGCGGTCTTTGTTAATACAGTGCGTTTATTTCTCTTCGCATGGTTAAAGCTAAACAGATGGCTACGAAGACACGTCGTGTCCATGAAAATGGAGCGAAAGACGGAGACACGAAGGACAATGCCAACCATAATGTTCGCGATTTTCGTGGAGCACAGAAAGCCATGTCGACGTCCCATGATGGAATAAGACAAGGAGAGCCTACGGATCCGAACGCGGCGGCGTGCGCTTTGATTGCAAGGTTCAAAACCACCATACGCATGAAGATCGAGGATCCGGAACCAGACGACGTGGTGGCCAGAATGTGCAAGAAGAAAGAAGGAGCAGGGTCTGAAAAAATCACGCTTTTTAACAGGGCTGGCGTCGGATGCATCTTATCTCAGGTTGACATGGTCAATATTGCTGACAACAAGTGGGTCTCGAACACGATCATCGACTTCCATAACATGTGCGTTCGCGTCGAAAGGTTTCCGTCTACCAGGTTTATTATGTTGAATATTGGTAGACACTAACCACTGCCATGTATTCATTTCTGTATTCCCTGTCCGTCAGATTGCTGAGCATCCGAGCCCCAAAGCTACCCAATGGCAAAACTTGGGCTGTTCTTGACAGCAAGGCCTTCACCTACAGCGTTGAATCTCAGAAACCTATTGAGACTAGAAAGGGACCGCCTCTCTTGGAGCACGACTACTTGGCTATTCCAGTTTTCCTAGAGTGAGAGCCTGTCTATAAAGATCATGCGTTTACATCTGTTGTCCGAACATGAATGTGGATGAGATTGTCTAACACACGATTTCTTGGTACGTGCGCAGGAGTCACTACTCTTTGGTAATCGTGCCCTCACCATTTCGGCTCCTCGACTCTTATGGAAGAAGTGATCCTGGGCGGCTTGAGATGATTTTGTACGACAGCATGGGACAACATTCGAAGTCGCCAGAGGTTTTCAATGGGGCGAAATTGTAAGTGTACATTTCCTTTTAAACGCAATTCGGATTACCGTACACCGTTGTTCATTTTCGCATATGATGTCTTCAGGTTATTGGCTTTCGCAGCAAAGAATGCCCACCCACAGGCTGACATAAACCATGTCGAAACTGTATTGCAAGAGGCAGAAGGCATCGTGATGGGGGTGAGACAATTATGCAAGTTGCAGTATATCTTACAGTCCCAAGCTGCTTACTTAAGTTCATGGTGGGTGGGTTGGTGTCTATACAGGAACATCAAATTCCTATGCTGCAAAACTCATTTGACAGCGGGATCTACATCTACCACTACCTCAAAGCTCTTGTTGACTCTAGCTTTGAGACTGTACGCGAATGGATTGGGTTCCGCGGTGTGAGTGCATTGCAATACCGTCGTTCAATCCGCACAGACATCTGCGAGCACGCCGAGGGGAAGCTGTTGCCAAAGCTGGCGGAGCTCGGCATCAACGTCCCTCCACAGAACACTGGGACAGTGACAGATGATGGGACTGTTGTACAGCCAAATGACGCTGATGTTCGCGCGAAACTAGCAAAACTGCACACGGAAGTTCAGGTGATGGAGCGTGAGGTGACAATCCTCAAGGCCAGAGTCATCGCTATTGGGCAGGTACTTGGGTACACTCAAGACCAGCTGCTAGTGGCAGCAGCGTATGTCCTGCAACAAAGCGGTACAGGGGGGAGCAGCAAGTCTGTCGGTGCAGGGATTAACATTGCTCCGTCCACACCCCAGCAGCCATTGGGGAATGCGGATTATTTCGGGTTCCCACGGTCCATGGTGTTCGCCATGCCAGAAACTGGGAGGGTGGCGACATTGGACAGTGATGACGACGCTGGCAAGAAATGCACCTCGTTTTTTGTCTGCAAGAGTGGCAGTACTCAGCTGCCGCGGTACACTGGTGTGCGTCGCGAACGTACGACCGGGAAGTGGGGTGTCAAGCTTTTGGTGATGGAAGATGGGGTTCGGTCACAAATCCGATTGGGGGCGTATACATCCAAGGAGGAGGCAGCATATGCATACGCCGCAGCGGCCTTTGTGACTCGTCCAGAAGAGAGTATATCGGACACAAAGCAGCTGTCGGCGGCCGAGAAACGCATACTTGATGGGTGCAACAAGGGCATCATGCGAACTCTCGCTCGAGCGCGCAAGTGGTGGCGTTGGAGAGAGTGGCGCAAGGTGTATGAGGAGGAGGAACGCAAGGGGGCAGACGGAAATCAGATGTCAGCGACACATTCATGCGCTAAGAGGAGGAAGAAGGATGAGAAGATGTATAGAGAAGTGAATCGTGATGGACTGGGTGGAGACGCGACTGTTTTCAAGGATGTGCACGCATCCAAGGATGGAATGAAGGACTCAAGGACGAATCTGGATAGTGTCATCGTGGACATCACCAATGATACGGGAGAGGACAATCCCGAATCATCCGAGACCGAGGATGCCTAAAAGAAGGCCTAGACGCAGATTTGCAGTTTTTTTCTTTCTTCTTCTTTGTTTTCTCTTTTTTTTGTAAGATTTCATTGTGTATTTTGCATGTTGCAAATGCAAATATTGACCGCACAAAGGCGTATCACTAATGTTGTTTTTGCGGAGAATAGCTGATGATGGGAGAGCCTAGGCGCAAAGTTGCAAACCGGATACTTGTTGTAAACCGGATACAGACTTGTTGGAAACTGGATACTGGTATTCAGAAACCGTATGCTTGGTACCGAGTAACGAAAAGAACGAAATTAATCAATTGATATATTAGAACATAAACTTCATGAACCTTATAGGGATCATAGTGACGTTTGCAAAAACGTTCTAGGAGAAAGTTGTTCAAGGAGAAAGTGCAAGCATCTACTTTAGCATGTGCGGTTCTAGGCTGGCACCGCTGGTGAAAATACCATTAGGTGAAAATACCGTCATGTGTATTTTCTACATGCCCATGTGTACTTGCGCAGGTGCTCGCAACACAGACAGTTGAACATACTCGTTTGTGCAATGTCGTCACTTCCCTCCAATACGGTCCAATGTTGAAATGTGCAACCCGAGGTGCATAGATTGGATAGTACTCGGTACGCGGTATGCGAAATCTCGCTACTTCGCATAGGGCTGCTACATGCGAAACCAGGGCTTCGCCTTAAGAAGTGCGTACGTCACCTTCCAACAAGGATGTAGATGTTGCGGCATGGTAGTGGTGTAGTCTGATATCAATTATCTTATCGTCCATGTATGCATCAGATGTGTGGAATTTCAACTCAGTTGGGTCTATTAATGTTCTCGTATACTTGTGTCAGAGGTCCACTGGGGATCCCCGATGATCCTAGGGAAGGGTTACAGGCATGTCGGCCTGGGGGGTTATGGGCGCACTCACCCGCTATACAAACAAGCCCTTTTATCCCAGTGGTTAGTGGCTGGGATTCTGACATGGTATCAGAGCGAAGGTCTCGGGTTCGATTCCCGGTGTGTGCACCTCGGGCATCCCAGTGCGGGGGGGTGTCAGAGGTCCACTGGGGATCCCCGATGATCCTAGGGAAGGGTTACAGGCATGTCGGCCTGGGGGGTTATGGGCGCACTCACCCGCTATACAAACAAGCCATTTTATCCCAGTGGTTAGTGGCTGGGATTCTGACAACTTGCACTAGAAAAATCGTCACTTGTTGATGGAACATTTTGCGCATGCTTGCTTTATAGAAATGGACACTTCTCACACATCTCAGGATACGCGAACTGTAGGGAGATCAGAAGACCATACTGCTGCTCAACTCAATCCAAAGTTCGGTGCCACTATGGACGTATGGATCTGGGGATTGTGAAGGCACCTAAAAAATGGCATGTGGTACTCCAATATTCAAGCAACGATGCTCAATCCAAAGTTGAGTGCCGCCATGAATGCATGGATCAGGGGATCGCATGGCATACCGCACGTGTTTTGGCATGTGGTCTCTAGAAGCCCAAGCATGTGCATTGCTCTCTCTCAAACGTCCGCTTTGGCGCAGACGAGCAGTCTGATACATTTGGAGAGGATAGAGCCCTAAACCTTGTATGGATCAGCGAAACATGTCAGAGCAAATGGCCAGCTAGGCCGGTGCAAGAGTTTCATTTCGCGAGGACTAGAGCCCTGGATCGTATCTACGGTAGAAATTAATTTATCAGTGAAATATGTCAGCACCAGTGACCAGCCAGACCACCGCAAGAGTTTCATTAACTAACCACACACACCCCATCCCAAACCTCGCCCAAATGCATGTTGAGGTGAAGCCCCGAACGCGCCTGGTTTGACGTCTAGTAGCGTCATACGAAGTAGCGAGATTTTGCATACCGCATACCGGAGCTTCGGAATTTGCCAAGCACACTCCAATTTGTGCAACTCAATTTGCACATTTCAAGATTGGACCGAATCGGAGGGAAGTGATGACATTGCACAAACGAGTATGTGCAACTGTCTGTTGCGAGCACCTGCGCAACTACTCCTGGGCAGGTAGAAAATACACCTAGCGGTGCCAGCTTGGAACCGCAAATGATATACCGTCATCGCCCGGAAATAAGACATATATGTCTTATCTCGTACACGGGCAAAAATGCTTGAGTTATCTTGTAAACGGGATGGTTTAGGGTGTCTTATAAGTCTTATAAATGGAAAAAAAAAAAGTTGACTGTAACACTTGCAAAGTGTGTAGAAACCACCCAGAGACCAGATTCATTGAAACAGGCCGACCTCGGTGGTGATTCATGCAGCACCCACACTTGCCACGTGAGGGATGCAGCAAAGCTGCCACCGCTGGCAGGATTCCTCAGTGCTGGCGTCGTTTTGCTGCCAGCAGCGCATGGCAGCTTCCAGAACGCTGCTGGCAGCACGTTGGCAGCGCGATGGCTGTCCTCTACGAGGAGATGCCTCGTAGAGGAGCGGCTCAGCATCTGTGGATGGGGCACTCTGGCTGGGGGGGGTAGTCGGGCTCGTGCTTCATTTGGTGTTCACGGTGGTTGAATGCTCGACTCTGTCAGAATGTTATTCTCTAGCCTGTAGTGGGGTGCTCTGTAGCGAGTACAACCCATCTAGGGTTTGCTATATGTATCCTCATTGCTGCTAGTGAAAACCCTCTTCTTTTGCCTAAACTGTCTCTTGCCTAGCTAGGACTCTCCTAGCTATGGCTCCTAACACTACATACTATTTTGACATGGTATCAGAGCTTAACGTTCCTGGCCTGTGGGCCCACTTCACTGCTTCCGCTGCTACTGCTACTCCCTGTCCGCCGCGCGCCCCGTGGTGCGCGGCGTCGAAATTAGGGTTTTCAGCCCGCCGTGCGCCCCGAGGCGCGCGGCGGTTTTCTGCCCGCCGTGCGCCCCGAGGCGTGCGGCGGTTCTCTGCCCGCCGTGTGCCCCGAGGCGCGCGGCGGGTTTCTGCCCCGTCACTCGGCGCGTCGCCCCCGGGAGGCGCTGCGACGGGCGACGGGGACCCGCGCGTCGCCCCCCGTCGCCCGTCGTGGCCTGCGCGCGGCCCGTACAGCCGGCGCGCGGCCCGTACGGGCTGCGCCAGGCCTGCGCGCGGCCCGTACGGGCTGCGCCAGGCCCGCGCGCGGCCCGTACGGGCTGCGCCAGGCCCGCGCGCGGCCCGTACGGGCTGCGCCAGGCCCGCGCGCGGCTCGTACGGGCTGCGCCAGGCCCGCGCGCGGCTCGGACCGCCTGCGCGCGGTTCGGGAGGCTGTGCCAGGCCCGTGGGCGGCCCGGTCGTCGCTGCCCCTGTCCTCCCCGCTGTCCCCCGTGCTTCTGAAGGCGCCCCACCCCTCCTTCTGCCCGTTCTCCTGGATTAGGGTTTGGGGGTGGGGGGTATGGGGGTGCAGCTTCTGAGTGCCGTTCCCTGCTCCTCCTCCTCCTCCGTCTCCCTGTGCTGCAGCTGCCGCTGAGGGGGGGTGGACCTGTTGGAGCCGACGGAGTGGTACTAAGGGGGGGGTGAAAGGGGAGTGGAGCTAGCGGTGTAGCAGCGGGTGTGTGTTAGGGGGAGTGGGATAGTTTGGGGAGGTTGAAGGGGGTGGCCGCCGTCAAGCCAGCAGCTCCAGTCGCCCGTGAGACCGTTGCGCCAGTCGCCCGTGAGCCCGTTGCGCCAGTCGCCCGTGAGCCCGTTGCTCCAGTCGCCCAAAAGTCCGTTGCTCGTCTGCCGCTACTTTTAGCCGCGGAGCCAGTTACTCCAGTAGCCCGTGTGCCAGTTGCTCCAGTTGCCAGTGTGCCAGTTGCTCCAGTTGCCCGTGTGCCAGTTGCTCCAGTTGCGCCGTGTGCCAGCAGCTTCAGCTGCCGCCCACTACCTCCTCTCCTCTCATAGTCTCTTTCCTCCTCCTCACTTGCCCGTTGTGACTACCACTAGCTTTGCTCATAATTGTGAACTTTAAACTATTGCTTCTTGAACTTGTGCTCAGAATGTGTGGTGACATTGTGATCCACCCTGAGCTTGTACTGCTTTGTTTGCTCTGCTGATTACACCCCACTTTGGCTATGGGGGTGTGTCAGAATGTTATTCTCTAGCCTGTAGTGGGGTGCTCTGTAGCGAGTACAACCCATCTAGGGTTTGCTATATGTATCCTCATTGCTGCTAGTGAAAACCCTCTTCTTTTGCCTAAACTGTCTCTTGCCTAGCTAGGACTCTCCTAGCTATGGCTCCTAACACTACATACTATTTTGACAAACTCAACCTTGCTCTCGGCAGGCTCTCTAACCATGCGCAGCAAGGTACCCCTAGGCAAGTCCTCACCTCGTCCTCACGTGCAGGTGAATAACTATGGGCGAATTAACTCGCCCGGCGACGACATCCGTGTAACCATGGCAAAGAACGCGAGCACGGCAGGAGGTCCTACCGCCGCCTCCGGTGCGAGCTGTGACGGGGACGACGGAGACGAAGCACACGGCGACGACGCGGAAGAGGATTGGCCGGAGAACGGCTACGACGACAGCGCTTCGGGCGACGAATTAGGTCCTGCCGACATTGAGGAGGACGAATGGTGGAATCAGCCGGTCGGGAGCGACGACGAGGTGGAAGAGTGGCGGGCTGGTGATTCTGACAACGACGGAGGTGACGAAGCTGACGGTGACAACGCGGAGGCACAGGAAGCGGCGGTGGATGCGAATGAGCGTGCCGACGAGGCGGAGGCGGAACTCGAGACAGTTGCGCCTGCGGATGCGGACGGGGTGGCGGAGGCTGACAAGGTGGCTGCGGATGCCGTCTTATTTGACGGTGAAAGCTCCGACGAAGACTCGTGGAGCCTTGGGACAGACGAGGACGTTCCGCTACTGAAGCGGAGGCTGCGCCATCACCTCAAGTCCACGACGAAGCGCGCCCGCGTGGTGCTCTCTGACGACGACAGTCCCGGGGAGGAGCGTCGCCCCCTACTCACCGTTGCGGAGAAGGGAAAGGCAAAGGTCGTGGAAGCCCCTGCTAAGTCCCCCTCTAAAGCCCCTGCTAAGGCCCCTGCTCGTCGCCGCACAAGCAACAAGAAGCGCAAGGACGACGGAGACCCTGGATCCAGCAAGGGTGCGGCTAGGAAAAAGGCGAAGAAGGCGCCGAATCCTGACGACATCATCGTGAACGAGGCGTTGGGCAGCGACGATGAGTACGCGGCGGCGGCGGGTCCGATTCCCACGTTCCCTGAGAAGGTCACACCGAAGGACCCCACCCTCCATAATCCCAACACCCGCCCACCTTCCCCTCGCAGCAAAGACACTACGAAGAAGCGCCGCGGATGGACCGTGCGTGAGAAGCTTAAGTGGGCTCGCCGCTATCAGGAGCTCGGCTCCTTGAAGAAGACGAGCTTGGAGTCAACCGCGAGCATCACCTGCATCAGACGATGGAGTGCGGAGGCGGCAGCGGGCATCTACAAGGGCGCAGCTAACTGCCGCAAGCCGATGCACAGGGGGGGGCGCCACGCACACTACCCCGACATGGAGGCAGCGTTGTACCGCTACATCTGCCTTCAGCGCGCTAACGGGGTGGCCATCTCGGTGAAGGACACCCAGAAGTGGAGCCGCGAGTGGATGAAGAAGCATCACCCCGGCAAGAACTGGAACGCGAGCTCCCACTGGAGCCAGCGTTTCCGTGACCGCTGGAACCTGGTGATGCGGGTGAAGACGAAGGTGGGACAATGTCTGTCGGTAGGTGCGTGAAAAAGGAAATCGTGTTGCGCTCGGCCCCTTGTATGCATGTCTTACCTCGCTAGTGTCTGACCATCCCGTGCTTCTGTTACTCCTGTTCCGTTTGCAGAGTGCGCGAAGGACTGCGAGTCCTTCTGGAAGTTCGTGCGCATCAACAGGGTGCGCCACAAGATCGACCTGGCCCACATCATCAACGCGGACCAGACGCCACTGTTCGTGGATATGCCGACCGAGAGGACGATCGAGCACCGTGGCGCGCGCTCGGTCCCAATCCGCACTGCAGGCTACCAGAAGACGCGCTTGACGGTGATGCTCGCGTGCACTGCATCCGGGGAGAAGCTGCGGCCGTGGGTGTGGTTCAAGATGAAGAACGTCCCCAACTGTGAGATTCCGGACGGTAAGCGCCACAGATGCAACCATGCGTGTGCCTCATGAGCGTGCCACACTGTGCTGATGCCCGTCTGTCCCTTGTGTGCCTGGCAGGAATCGTGTGTCAAGCACAGGACAACGGGTGGATGGACGAGAGCGCTGTGCAGACCTGGCTGTCCAAGGAGGTCCTGCCCCATCTGAACCCCCAGCGCGGCTAGAGCGCGAGGCGTGCGATGCTGGTGTTGGACTCCTACCGCGGCCACATCACCCAGACCATGCTTCAGTCGTACCGCACGCACAGCATCACCCCTGCAGTCATCCCAGCGGGTTGTACGAGCCAGATTCAACCCCTGGACGTCTCCATCAACCGGTGCTTCAAGGCTGCCGTGCGAGCGCGCTACGCCCGGTGGTTCATGCGCGAAGGAATTCATCTGAAGACGAAGAAGGGTGAGTTGGTCCTTCGTTTTAAAATCCTGCTCTGTTTCATGTCCTTATCTTTATCATGTCCCCCCATGACCGTGTCTCTAACAGCTCGCTGCCCCGTCCTGTGTCCCGCCCGCAGGGAACCTGCGGAGGCCTCCGGCTTGGGATCAAGTCCCCAAGCAGATCATCATCGACGCGTTCCGCCACTGTGGGATCTCCAGCAAGCTGGACGGAACGGAGAACCACCTGGTGATGTCTCACCTGCGCGCCAGGAGCACCACCGATGTCTCCGAGGACATGTCCCTCGGGGGGACCACAGGCGACAACACGCGCCTGCTCGGGAAGGCTCCAGAGGAGGAGGAGGAGGAGGAGGAGGAGGAGGAGGAGGAGGAGGAGGAGGAGGAGGAGGAGGAGGAGGAGGAGGAGGAGGAGGAGGAGGAGGAGGAGGAGGAGGCGATGCAGGGGGTGGGCGTGCAGGAGGTGGCCGTGGCAACTGGCCTGGAGGTGCTGTACCAGGAGACCCCCAACTACCGCGGAGCGGCGGCCGAGGCTGACCGCATGATCGAGCCTAGGGAGACGGCTAGGCATGCCTGGCGAGTGCCAGACCTGAGTGTGGAGCCTGTTGCTAGTGTTGCAGAGGAGGCGGTGACTGAGGGGGGTCAGGTAGAAGTAGAGATTCATGCATGTATGGATGTACCCCCCTAAAGTAAGGAAGGTTCGTTTAGAAGACACCCCCTCTTTATAAGAAAACCCCTAAACCCCGGTTCTGATTATAAGACATATGTCTTATCTCGTACACACAAATAGGTGTCGTATAAAAAGGCTAGCCTGTTTATAAGAGACACCCGTATAGTAGACAACCCCTGTCTACTATTCAACACTGTCTTATATCCGGGCGATGACGGTAGTAGTTACTTGCACATTCTCCTTGAACAACATCTTTCATGAACGACGTGTTAGAATCTAGCAGCACGAATGGATGAACTATGCAGCATGCAGGAGTACAAGTAGTAAACCCTAATTGGGTTGTACCCCATGTGGGCTACCCCACTACAGCCTACACAATATAGTTTGACACATCGTTCTTCCGAAACGTTCTTGCACACGTCATTTTGTTCCCTATAAGGTTTAAGTTGTTTCTGTCGTAATCTATCAATTTAATCGATTTCGTTCCTTCCGTTACTGGATACAAAGCACACCATTTCTGAATACTAGTATCCAGTTTACAACAAGTCTGTATCCGGTTTGCACACAAGTACCGTAAAGTGCCACCTATAGGACCCGGGGGACTCTCTACAAATGCTTGAAAAAGTGCTGGAGGGACCCTCTGGCGGATGAAAAAAATTTAAGACCCGGGGTAACTTATTTATCAACTATCATTCTTTTCTTTAGGGTGTACGGCTTAATTCGGGGCGGGGGGGTCTTATATTTATAACGAAAAACGGCATTCGCGGGCGGATTTCGCGCGAGCGGCCCGTCAGATCTGTGTCAGAATTCGAGTCTGACACTAACAGAATGCGGCACAAAAAATCGTGTCAGAATTCAAGTTTCTGTCAATAAAAGCTGACTCACAATAGCAATTACAACTACTGTATACAGGAAAGGGGGGTCTTATGATGATTAGGGGCAGAAAGGGGGTCCTCACAAATCCTGCCCAAATAAGAGTCCCTCTGCTCCTTCAAGAGTCCCAAGGACCCTCTTACCGGCGGGTCCTATAGGTGGCACTTTACGGTATCCAGTTTGCAATTCTGCACCTAAGCTCTCCCATAATCGCCTATTCTCCGCAATGCATCCACCCATGCACACCCAGCTGCAACCAAACGCACACGATTTAACAACCTTTACTCAGCATGAAACACAGCTATTCCTGGACTCTGCCGCCATGCACTCAGCAGCACTCGGCTCGGCAGCACTCGGCGCGTGCATCACTTCCAACGCCTGTTCCACCTCCTCCCACCTTGCACCTCCTCGGTCACTTCTTCCCCCGCCATCTCCAACATTAAGGCTCAGAACCGCACTGCATTGTAATGAGCTTCACCAAATCGCACGGAACAACACTAAATCGCACTGAACCGCATGCATCTCACCTACGGAGCTCTGCCGCCATGCACCCTGCATGTGCCTGCATCACCCTAACTGCCTGCTCCACTGCCGCCCTTCCCCTCACCTCTCCCCCCACTGCCTCACCATTCCCTCCAACAGTACCACTCAGAACCGCTTTGACTCTCACTAAACCGCACTGAACCTGACCGAACCGTAATGGACCAAACTATACCACACTGGACCACTCTGAACCACAGCCTGTCACCTACGCAGCTCTGCCGCTATGCACCCTGCATGTGCCTGCATCACCCTAACCGCCTGCTCCACTGCCGCCCTTCCCCTCACCTCCTCCCCCCACTGCCTCACCACTCCCTCCGCTCGTGTCCCCTTCACCCCTCTCTCCATCGCCTCTGCTGCCTCCTCCAATCGCCCCTCCACCAGCAGCGCAGCCGCTTCCGCAACAGCTTGCTCAGGGCTCGGTGCTTCCCCTGCTGTGCTTGGTACTGGGAACTGGTGTAGGGTGAGGGAAGGGAAGGGAAGGGGAGAAACAGCAGAGTTAGGTGGGAGGTAGAAGGTTGCCTGTATGCCCCTTCACCCCCCTCCATCGCCCCTGCTGCCTCCTCCAGTCGCCCCTCCACCAGCAGAGTGGTTGCCTCTGCCAGGGCTAGCTCAGGGCTCGGTGCTTGCCCTGCTGTGCTTGGTACTGGGAACTGGTGTAGGAGGAGGGAAGGGAAGGGGAGAAACATCAGAGATAGGCGGGAGTTATAAGGTTGCCTGGATGCCCCTTCACCCCTCTCTCCATCGCCCCTGCTGCCTCCTCCAGTCGCCCCTCCACCAGCAGAGTGGTCGCGTCTGCTAGTGCTTGCTCAGGGCTCGGTGCTTCCTCTGCTGTGCTGGGTACTGGGAACTGTTGTGGGGTTAAAGACGGATGGAAAGAGGGGGATAATGCGGCTGTATCAGACTGCCATCGCCCCTGCTGCCTCCTCCAATCGCCCCTCCACCAACAGAGTGGTTGCCTCCGCAATGGCTTGCTCAGGGCTCGGTGCTTCCCCTGCTGTGCTTGGTACTGGGAACTGTGGTGGGGAGAAATAGAAAACAAAAAATAAGACAACTTAATTTTGAACAATTCTCAAGCTTCCCACTCAAGCCAATGTGTATACCTTAGTCGTGGGTCAGCCCGCCTTTACCTTAAGAGCGACTGCAACTGCTGTGTTGGCGTGACTTTTGAGAATTCTCAGAAGTTTTCCACTCAAGCCAATGTGTGTACCTTAGTCGTGGGTCAGCCCGCCTTTACCTTAAGAGCGACTGCAGCTGCTGCCACCGCCTGCGACGATAGGCCTGGCTCAACCATCCCTACTCCTCCTCCTCTTCTCCTTCTGTCTCAGATCCTTGCGACTCAGAACTCACCTAGTGGCAGTGTGTGTTACCTTAAGAGCGACTGATACTGCTGCCACTGCTTGTGACAATAGACCCGGCTCAACCAACTCTCCTCCTCCTCCTCCTCCCCCTCCTCCTCCTCCTGCTCCCGCTCCCACGCCCTCCCTCTCCACCCCATTGGTCGACGGCAGCATCGCCAGCTGGCACACCCTCGCCCTCATCCCCTCCAGCCGCTCCTGCAGCTGCTGACGTGTCAGCACGCCATTGGCCAGCGCGGATTTGGGCAGGGTGGCGGCGATCGCAGCGACCAATGGGTCGTCGCCACGTGGCAGGAGGGCCGAGACGAGAGGATCCTGGGATGGGTGCGATTGGGATTGTGATGCTGATTCTGATTTTGATTCTGTCCCGGATTGTGACTGTAGGTGTGGAGGTTGAAGGTGTGATTGAGAGGATGTGACTGTGGCGAGGGGAGGGGGGGTGAGCGAGGAGGAGGAGGCGGGGTGGAGGAAGAGGGAGGAGAGAATCGGCTGCAGAGGCTGGTTGCTGTCTGCTGCTTCTTGGAGCGATATGGCCGCCTGGAAGGGGTGAGGGGGAAGCAGGAAGGGCAGAGAAAGTGTATGCGGGAAGGCAATGGAAGTGAGAGGGGTGGGAGTGGGGGAGGGAGGAGTGGATCGGCTGTAGCGGCTGGTTGCTGTCTGCTTCTTGGAGCGACATGGCCGCCTGGAAGGGGTGAGGGGGAAGCAGGAAGGGCAGAGAAAGTGTATGCGGGAAGGCAATGGAAGTGAGAGGGGTGGGAGTGGAGGAGGGAGGAGTGGATCGGCTGTAGTGGCTGGTTGCTGTCTGCTGCTTCTTGGAGCGATATGGCCGCCTGGAAGGGGTGAGGGGGAAGCAGGAAGGGCAGAGAAAGTGTATGCGGGAAGGCAATGGAAGTGAGAGGGGTGGGAGTGGAGGAAGGAGGAGTGGATCGGCAGTAGCGGCTGGTTGCTGTCTGCTGCTTCTTGGAGCGATATGGCCGCCTGGAAGGGGTGAGGGGGAAGCAGGAAGGGCAGAGAAAGTGTATCCGGGAAGGCAATGGAAGTGAGAGGGGTGGGAGTGGAGGAAGGAGGAGTGGACCGGCTGTAGCGGCTGGTTGCTGTCTGCTGCTTCTTGGAGCGATATGGCCGCCTGGAAGGGGTGAGGGGGAAGCAGGAAGGGCAGAGAAAGTGTATGCGGGAAGGCAATGGAAGTGAGAGGGGTGGGAGTGGAGGAAGGAGGAGTGGATCGGCTGTAGCGGCTGGTTGCTGTCTGCTGCTTCTTGGAGCGATATGGCCGCCTGGAAGGGGTGAGGGGGAAGCAGGAAGGGCAGAGAAAGTGTATGCGGGAAGGCAATGGAAGTGAGAGGGGTGGGAGTGGAGGAAGGAGGAGTGGATCGGCTGTAGCGGCTGGTTGCTGTCTGCTGCTTCTTGGAGCGATATGGCCGCCTGGAAGGGGTGAGGGGGAAGCAGGAAGGGCAGAGAAAGTGTATGCGGGAAGGCAATGGAAGTGAAAGGGGTGGGAGTGGAGGAAGGAGGAGTGGACCGGCTGTAGCGGCTGGTTGCTGTCTGCTGCTTCTTGGAGCGATATGGCCGCCTGAAAGAGGGGGGTTGAGGAGCAGGAAGAGAGGGGGGGTGTGGGGAAGGAGCGGGAAGGGAGAGGGGAGGTACATGGGGAAAGAGAATGAGAGTGAGAGGGGCGGAAGCGGAGGAGGGAGGAGAGGAGAGGCTTAGATGCAAGGACTGGTTCGAACGCACAGCTTCACACCCTCAAATCATCACCACACCACTCAGCACCGCACTGCATCTCACCAGAACCACTCTGGTGCACTCCAGGACAACCTGTCCACCCACCTGTGATCGCTGGAACAAAACATTCCTCAGAGCAGAAATCTGCAGAGAGAGACCACATCACACCACACCGCACCACACCACACCACACCACACCACACCACACTACACCACATCACACCACACTACACCACACCACTCTGCACTGCACTGCACTGCACTGCATCTCACCAGAGCCACTCTGTGCGCATGCCATGACAGCCTGTCCTCCTGAGAGCGCTGGAAAAAGACATCCCTCAGAGCAGAGATCTGCGTGGTGGAACCACAGAGAGGAAAAAGAGAGAGCCAGAGGGAGTAAGGAGGCATGCTTTACTGGGCTCAGGAGCAGCATGACAGCCTGTCCTCCTAAGATCGCTGGAAAAAGACATCCCTCCGAGCAGAGATCTGGAGCGATGGAGACACACACAGACACGCACACACACAGGGGAGCAAGCAGCGGAATGTACAGGAAAGCACGATCTACTGGACTCAGGAGCAGCATGACAGCCTGTCCTCCTGAGAACGCTGGAAGAAAAATCCATCAGAGAGCAGAGATCTGCAGAGGTGCGCTGCGCACACATAGACATGCACATGCACACAACACGCACGCACATACACACACAGAGGTACAGAGGCACACAGAGATTAGCGAGACGCGCTCAAGACAAAGTGACTTGCAGACAGCTTTGCATCCTAAGATTGTTGACTTAAAAGAGACGCGCTCAGCTCAAGACAGCCTCGCATCCTAAGATTGTTGGAAGAAATAGCCCTTCGACTTTTGAGACGTCTCAAAAGACACACACACAGAGATACAGAGGCACACAGAGATACAGAGGCACACAGAGATACAGAGGCACACAGAGATACAGAGGCGCACAGTGATACAGAGGCACACAGAGATACAGAGGCGCACAGAGATACAGAGGCGCACAGAGATACAGAGGCACACAGAGATACAGAGGCGCACAGAGATACAGAGGCACACAGAGATACAGAGGCACACAGAGATACAGAGGCACACAGAGATACAGAGGCACACAGAGATACAGAGGCGCACAGAGATACAGAGGCACACAGAGATACAGAGGCACACAGAGATACAGAGGCGCACAGAGATACAGAGGCACACAGAGATACAGAGGCGCACAGAGATACAGAGGCACACAGAGATACAGAGGCACACAGAGATACAGAGGCACACAGAGATACAGAGGCCCACAGAGATACAGAGGCACACAGAGATACAGAGGCACACAGAGATACAGAGGCGCACAGTGATACAGAGGCACACAGAGATACAGAGGCACACAGAGATACAGAGGCACACAGAGATACAGAGGCACACAGAGATACAGAGGCACACAGAGATACAGAGGCACACAGAGATACAGAGGCGCACAGAGATACAGAGGCACACAGAGATACAGAGGCACACAGAGATTAGCGAGACGCGCTCAAGACAAAGTGACTTGCAGACAGCTTTGCATCCTAAGATTGTTGACTTAAAAGAGACGCGTTCAGCTCAAGACAGCCTCGCATCCTAAGATTGTTGGAAGAAATAGCCCTTCGACTTTTGAGACGTCTCAAAAGACACACACACAGAGATACAGAGGCACACAGAGATTAGCGGGACGCGCTCAGCTCAAGACAGCCTCGCATGCTCAGAGCAGAAATTTGCCAGAGGTGATACACTCACCTCTTCTTGGAAGAAAATAGCCCTCAGAGCAGAAATTTGCCAGAGGTGATACACTCACCTCTTCTTGGAAGAAATTAGCCCTCAGAGCAGAAATTTGCCAGAGGTGATACACTCACCTCTTCTTGGAAGAAAATAGCCCTCAGAGCAGAAATTTGCCAGAGGTGATACACTCACCTCTTCTTCTTTCAGCAACTCGGTCTGCTCCTGGTGGGCCGCTGCTGCCTGCCTGCCTTCTGCCTCTGCTGCTGGGTCCCCACCCTCAAAAGCTTATTCCCCACACTCCCCCTCTCTGAGACACACACTCACCTCCTCTTTCAGGAGCTCCGTCTGCACCCCGCGTGCCTCTGCTGCTGCCACTATTCCCCACAGCGCTCGTCCCATCAATCACCGCTCTCCCACCGCTCACCTCCTCTTTCAGCAACTCTGTCTGCTCCTGGTGGGCCTCTGCCGCCCCCTTCGCCTCTCCCTCTACTGTTGACCCCTCCAGCGAGCCCAACCCTCCAATCACCCCACCTACTTCCCCCTTCCTGCCAACTTGTGTAAGTTGACTGGATTAAAATGACGATTTGTTTAAACTGGCTCCCTAAGACACCGCTCTAAGCTCACAGCTCACAGTTCTCCAGGACATCCATCCATTCCATGGGGTTTGTCTCGTCGTTTTAACCATACAAGTTGATGGACGTAAGGCCTCCGCAGCCCACCTGTCTGCGTTCGACAACTCTCCCTCTACTGTTGACCCCTCCAGCGAGCCCAACCCTCCAATCACCCCACCTACTTCCCCCTTCCTGCCAACTCTCCCCACTCACCTCCTCTTTCAGCAGCTCCATCTGCTCCTGGTGTGCCACTACTGCCTGCCTCTCCTCTGCCTCTGCTGCGGCCACTGCCGCCAGCTGCTGCTGCAGCACTGCCTGCAGGGTGGATACGGCCTGTGTAGGGAGAGAGGGGGAGAACGGTGGATGAAGAAGGGGAGAGGGATAATGGGTTCAATGTGCCTCTACTGTTGCCACTGCCGCCAGCTGCTGCTGCAGCACTGCCTGCAGGGTGGACACGGCCTGTGTAGGGAGAGAGGCAAGAATCGGCGGGTGGGGAGAGTGAGACAGGGGAGAGGAACAGGACGGGGAAGGGAGACACACGATTCTTTAGTTGACTCACAAAGTGAGATAGGTTCACACACACACGCCCTATAGACATTTTGAGACGTCTCAAAATTTGACTCACGAAACAAGATAAGTTCACTCACATCACATCACACCCTATAGACAATTCCCTCCCTCGAGACGATACCCATCCCCTGAGTTGCTAGCACTCCTTCTCTTCCTGACGCGCTTCAAAAGGCTGCGGGTCAGAGTTGCTACCCATCCCCTGAGCTGCTGACTCCATTTCTGCCTGCGGGGCTCTCTGTGTGCCTGCCTCCTACCCCAAGTTAACTTCCTCCTCCCCTCAGTGAGGGGCCCTCACTTCCATGCTTGTTCTACCCCTCACTCACCATGTCCTCTTCTTCCTCCTGCTGCTTCCTCGCCTCCCCCCCCCCCTCCTCCCACTCCTCCAATTCTCTCCCCATCTCCTCCCATTGCTACTCAGCCTCCTACCCCAAGCTTATCTTCCCCTACCGCAACCACACCTTCCTTTCCCAACCTCAAATTGTCTCCCACCCCTCACTCACCATCTCCTCTTCTTCCTCCTGCTGCCTCCTCGCCTCCCCCTCCTCCCACTCCTCCAACTCCCTCCCCATTTCCTCCCTCTGCTGCCCAGTAGTATTGGTCCAGCACCCCCCCTAAATCTTGTGCAAGCCCCCCAGTCTCCCACCCCTCACTCACCATCGCCTCTTCTTCCTCCTGTTGCCTCCTCGCTTCCCTCTCCTCCCACTCCTCCAGCTCCCTCCCCATTTCCTCCCTCTGCTGCCCATTAGTATTGGTCCAGCACCCCCCCCTAAAGCTTGTGCAAGCCCCCCAGTCTCCCACCCCTCACTCACCATCGCCTCTTCTTCCTCCTGTTGCCTCCTTGCTGTCCCCACCTCCCACTCCTCCAACTCCCTCCCCATTTCCTCCCTCTGCTGCTCAATCCGCTCCCTCACTTTGCTCATCCCCCAAGCCTACCAGTCTCCCACCCCTCACTCACCATCTCCTGTTCTTCCTCCTGCTGCCTCCTCGTCTCCCCGTCCTCCCATTCCTCCAACTCCCTCCCCATCTCCTCCCTCTGCTGCTCAATCCGTTTCCTCTCCTCCTCCCCCTCCCTCTCCCTCTCTCGCACCGCCGCTGCCAGCGAATCCTGTTCTGCCACGTGGACACTCTGTGTGTGAGGGGGGAGGGAGGAGGGCGTTGGGGGAGGAAGGGGGAGTGAGGCGGAGGAGGTTTCATTCAGAAGAAGGTGGGGCGAAAAGGGTGGGGCGACAAGAAAGGGCAGGCGAGAAGAGACATGGGGTTGGTGGATACATATAGAGTGGATAGCGGATACTGAATAGCGCATGCCGAATAGCGCATACCAAATAGCGCATACCAAATAGCGCATACCAAATAGCGCATACCGAATAGCGCATACCAAATAGCGCATACAAAATAGCGCATAGCGAATAGCGCATACCAAATAGCACATACCGAATAGCGCATACCAAATAGCACATACCAAATAGCGCATACCAAATAGCGCATAGCGAATACCAAATAGCACATACCAAATAGCGAATAGCGCATACCAAATAGCACATACCAAATAGCGCATACCAAATAGCGCATACCGAATAGCGCATACCAAATAGCACATACCAAATAGCGCATACCAAATAGCGCATACCAAATAGCGCATACCAAATAGCGCATACCAAATAGCGCATACCAAATAGCGCATACCAAATAGCGCATACCTAATAGCGCATACCAAATAGTGCATACCAAATAGCGCATACCGAATAGCGCATACCAAATAGCGCATACAAAATAGCGCATAGCGAATAGCGCATACCAAATAGCGCATACCGAATAGCGCATACCAAATAGCACATACCAAATAGTGCATACCAAATAGCGCATACCAAATAGCGCATAGCGAATAGCGCATACCAAATAGCGCATACCTAATAGCGCATACCAAATAGTGCATACCAAATAGCGCATACCGAATAGCGCATACCAAATAGCGCATACAAAATAGCGCATAGCGAATAGCGCATACCAAATAGCACATACCGAATAGCGCATACCAAATAGCACATACCAAATAGCGCATACCAAATAGCGCATAGCGAATACCAAATAGCACATACCAAATAGCGAATAGCGCATACCAAATAGCACATACCAAATAGCGCATACCAAATAGCGCATACCAAATAGCGCATACCGAATAGCGCATACCAAATAGCACATACCAAATAGCGCATACCAAATAGCGCATACCAAATAGCGCATACCAAATAGCGCATACCAAATAGCGCATACCAAATAGCGCATACCAAATAGCGCATACCGAATAGCGCATACCAAATAGCGCATACCAAATAGCGCATACCAAATAGCGCATACCAAATAGCGCATACCAAATAGCGCATACCGAATAGCGCATACCAAAGAGAGGGGGGAGAGAGGAGGACGTTGCGGGAGGAAGTGGGAGGGGGCGGATGGGGTTTCATTCAGAAGAAGGTGGGGCAAAAAGAAAGGGCAGGCGAGAAGAGAGGTGGGGGTGGTGGATAAATCCTGTAACGGATAATGGACAGTGGATAGTGGATTGTGGATAGTGGATAGTGGATAGTGGATAGTGGTGGGTAGTGGATAGTGGATAGTGGATAGTGGATAGTGGATAGTTGACGGGCGAGGAAGAAACTGATAGTCCAGTAAGGAATCCTTTAGCAGCGAATCCCCCCTCCTCTCACCCACCTGCATCGCCGCCAAATGTCGCTCCATCTCCTCCCTCCTCTCACTCCCATATATTTTCTAACCCGTTCAAATTTCCCCGTTCCTCCCTCCCTCCCTCCCTCCCTCCCTCCCTCCCTCCCTCCCTCCTCTCACCTTTATCACTGCCAGCTGTCGCTCCCTCTCCCTCCTCTTCCCATATTCCCTCTAACCCTTCCAAATTTCCTCGTTCCTCCCTCCCTCCCTCCTCTCACCTGCATCGCTGCCAGCTGTCGCTCCCTCTCCCTCCTCCCCCTCTCCGCCTCCGCCTTCCTTGCCGCTGACTCGATCCTCACCACCTCAGCTGCCATGCCCACCGCCACGTCAGCAGCCACGTCAGCGGCCACGTCAGCTACTCCCTCCAACTTGCTGTGATCTTTGCTTTCCTTCCGTGCATCTCCCTTCTCTCCTTCCTTCTCCTCCTCCTCTTCCTCTTCCTCTTCCTCTTCCTCCTCTTCCTCCCCTTCCCTCTTCTTTTTCTCTTCTTTCTTCCTCTTCTTCTCTTCCTTCTCCTCCTCTTTCTTCAGCTTCTTAAGTCGCTTCCTCTCTTCCTTCGACAATCCCCCTTCCTCCTCCTCCTTCCCTTTCCCCTTCTCCTCCTTTTTCTTTAGCTTCTTAAGTCGCTTTTTTTCCTCCTTGGACATCTCTCCTTCCTCCTCCTCCTCCTCATCCTCCTCCTCCTTCCCCTTCCCTTTTTCCTCTGCATCTCCCTTCTTTTTCTCTTCCTCCTCCTTTTTCAGCTTCTTAAGGCGCTTTTTCTCTTCCTTCTTCCTCTTCCTTTCGTCATCCCCAACATCATCCTTCCCTCCCTCTCCTCCCTTCTCATCCCCCTCTCCCTCCTCTCCCTCCTCTCCCTCCTCTCCCTCCTCTCCCTCCTTTTCCTCCTTCGCCTTCCTCTCCTCCTTTTCCTTCTTCTTTAAATCCTTCTCCCTCCTCTTCTCCTCCTCCTTCCTTCGCTTTACCTCCTCCTTATCTTCATTCTCCACCTCTTTCTCCTCCACCCTAATCTCCCCTTTTACTGTACCTCCTGACCCCTTCACACTTCCCCCCTCTCTCGCACCTTCCTCTCCCTCACCCCTTCCATCTCCCGCCTCCTCCTTCCCCTCCCCTTCTCCCTCCTCTATCCCAATCTCTCCTCCCCCCTCCTTCTCCTCCTCTCCTTCCCCCTCCTTCCCCTCCGCTTCGCCCCTCTGCTCCGTTATCGTGTCTCCAGCCTTCGTTCCCCCAGTCCCCAAGACTGCCGCATGACTCGATATCTTAACTTTTTCTTCCGAGCCTACTTTCGTATCGGGTGTGATTATAGCGGGACAAGGTCCGAATCTCGCTGCTTCTGTCTCCCACCAATAATACGCTCCTCCTGCCGCCCCAGCTATAGCGGCAGCTGTTATCACGCTCACCAATCCCCGCCCCCCCTTCCGCCCGCCCGCTCCGCCAGAACTTCCGCCAGTGCTTCCGCCAGCGCTTCCGCTAATGCTTCCGCCAGCGTTCGGGGCGGAGTTCGGCGGGATCGGGGGAGATGTGGCGGCGGAAAAACTGCGCTTGCTACCCGCAGGCGCGCGGGGAGCAGGGATCAAACGGCGGAATGGCGCAAACGCGGCGGAGGGGGGTGCTGGAATAGGGCGACACCTGTCGACACCCCATTGGTTGGGACGGGATTGGATCAATCTGGCCTGCCCACTGCCTTCCACGAAGAATGGAGAAGGGCGAAGGGCGTGGAGAGAATGGGTTGGAACGGCGGGCGCCGCGGGGGAGATGCCGGAGGGCAAGGAGATTTGCAGAAAGATGCGAGCGGCGGATCGGACGGCCAGCAGCCGGTCGGATCGCCGAAGCTGATGCGCCATGGCTGTGAGCAGCAGAACGAGAAAATGTGGTGGGATGAAGGACGTGATGTCATAGTGACATAAAGCAGCAGAATTTTAAAACAAAAAAAAACAATGTTTCGAAACAACACACGGAGCTATAGCTCAGTGGTAGAGCATTCGACTGCAGATCGAGAGGTCCCCGGTTCAAACCCGGGTGGCTCCTAGGAGAAAACCTTTTGTCGCAACATACTCTTGTCAAAATCACTCTTGTATTGCTAGTATTTTTCCAGAAGCATGTGCTCTATCTTGCCCCCACGTCAGCTTGACCTGATGCTCTCATATCCATATGATACTGTTACAACCACCATCTAGTTGAGTACGTGTTAAGAGTGCAATGGAGTGAGCGAACGAGGATTGCACTATCGAAGCAAGAGTACAATGAGCGAAGGCATGAGCGAAGAATATATAGCGAAACTACAGTGGTAACGGTAATGTGTGGAAATTGGGGTGCGCGACGGGCCTAGCGCCGAGGGTGGGAAATGCCGAGGCGGAGGTCCGGAGCGCGGGTTACCAACCGAGCCGTGAGGTTGGGTCGCGGCGTGAACAGTGGCGGGAACAGTGTCGAGGCGAGTGTCGCGAGTGGTAACGGTGTACTGTTGGATGTTGGTGGCGGGAGCAGTGGTGTACGCGCTGAGAAGGGACGCGGAGTAAGGAAAAGGAATTTTCCTTACACTACCCCCCCTCTAAGGAGGCCCTCCTTACGAAAGCGCATGCACATCCCGGAAATTACGGCTTCGTAGGTACTCGGTGAGGACAGGGTGATTCTCAATTCTGTCCAGGGGAACCCAGTTGTCCTCCGTGGGCGTGCGATCTTTCCAGCGGATCAGGAATTCGATTCTGCGGGCTCCCCGTGGGTCACGTACTCGATGGCTTAGGATTTTTTCAGGCGTGATGATTGGTTCCGTTGGTGGCCGTGTCATGCTGGCGGGGCGGTTGCGAGGCAGTTGGCTGGTGGATGGCACGTATGGGCGAAGCAGGCTGACATGGAATGACGGGCTGACGTACCAGTCAGCAGGGAGGAGGAGGTGGGCGGTAACGGGTGTAATCATGTGGCTGATGCGAAATGGCCCACAATATCGGGGGCGGAGTTTTGGGGTGATAGGTAGGCGGAGGTTGTTGGTGTCGAGCAATACCTGGTCGTCGGATTGGTAAGTGACGGGGCGGCGGTGGCGGTCTGCGTTACGCTTAGCGATGACGTTTGATTTTTTTATGGCTTCTGCTGCTCGGGTCCGGGCTGCCTGTAATATTTCTGCGAACTGTTGTGCGCGTGGGACTGGGTTATCGGGATTCGGGGTCATGGGTACTGTGGGGTCTTGTCCGTAGTTCAGGTAAAATGGGGACTGTTGTGTTGTGGCGGAGGGCGAATTGTTGTATGCGAATTCGATGAGTGGCAGTTGCTGTTCCCAGGTGGTCGGGTCATCGCACGTGGCTCGGATGAGTTGCTCCATGGTCTGATTGGTCCGTTCTGTCTGTCCGTCAGTTTCGGGGTGGTACGACGAGCTAAACTTTAGTCGCGTGCCAAACTGCTGCCACAGGTTCCGCCAGAAGTTGCTGGTGAATTTCGTGTCGCGGTCGCTGATGATTGCTGCTGGTATCCCGTGCAGTCGTACGACGGTGGCGATGAAGAGGCGGGCTGTTTCTTCGGCTGTGATCGATTTCTTGCAGGCTGCGAAGTGCGCCATTTTCGTCAGTCGATCGACGACGACCATGATCGCGTCGTTCCCACTCGCTCCGGCCGGTAACCCCGTGACGAAGTCCATCGTCAACTGGTGCCACGCACGCTCTGGGGGCGGTATCGGCTGCAACTGTCCTGCCGGCCGCTTTCTTGACGACTTCATGAGCTGGCAAGTGGGACACGATGCCACGTGTCGCTGTACGTCGGTCAACATCTCGGGCCAGTAATAATATCGCTGCAGCTGCTGCCGTGTTTTTTCTACCCCAAAATGTCCCGAGGTAACTCCGTCGTGTGCCTCCTGTAACAGTAACTCCCGTAGCAGAGTGTACCCTGGTACCCAAATGCGGTCAGTCTCGGGTTTTACGTAATATACTCCCCGTGCTGCTGCGAACTGCTGCGAATTTCCTCCTGTGAAGAAAGGGTCCGTTTGATACCCGTGGGTGAATAGTCCTGTTAAAAGTGGGCTGGTCTGGGCGAGTAGGATTGCGTGGATGTGGGCAGTGGGGCGGGTCAGTGCGTCAGCTATGTTGGATGCTCCCTTTTTGTAGGTGACTGTGTAGTGGAAGTTTGACTCGAGGAAATCGAGCCAGCGAATCTGTCGTGGGTTGAGGTGGGGCTGTGCGCGAAGGTACTGTAGTGATTTGTGGTCTGTCCGTACTGTCACGTCTGCGCCGGTCAGGTAACAGCGCCACACTTTGAACGCGTGCACGATTGCAAGCATTTCGCGGTCGTGTATCGGGTAATTCTTCTCGGGCGGATGCAGTTTTCGTGACTCGTATGCGATAGGCTGTAGGCCGTTGCCGAAATCCTGTAGCAGTACGGCTCCGATGGCGATGTCACTGGCGTCTGTAACTACTTCGAATGGGCGGTGTGGGTCGGCAATGCGCAGGACGGGCGGTGAACAGAGAACAGTTTTCAGGGCAGAGAAGGCAGCATGCTCTTTCTCCCCCCACGTAAAAGCGACCCCCTTCCGCAGTAAATCCGTCAGTGGGGCTGTTAAGCGAGCCATGTCGGGGACGAACCGACGGACGTAATTAACAAACCCCAAAAAACTCTGCAGCTCCGTGATGTTCGTCGGGGGGTGCCAGGCCCTGACCGTGTCCAGTTTCCGTGGGTCAACCGCAACCCCATCCTCTGAAATAACGTGCCCCAAAAATTCGAGCCTATCCTGAAAGAACTCGCACTTGGAACCCTTACTCAATAACCTATGCTCCTCTAAAATCTTAAATACTGCTTCGAGGTCCGCTAAGTGCTGCTGTTTATCCCGACTGTAGACGAGGATGTCGTCGAGGTAAACTATCACGCATTTATCTAAAAGCGGTTGAAACGCCTCGTTCATGGTCATCTGAAATGTCGCAGGTGCGTTGGTCAGCCCGAAGGGCATCACGGTGTACTCGAATGACCCGTACCTAGTCCTAAAAGCTGTCTTGGCGCAGTCCGATGGTTCGACCCGAATCTGATGGTAACCTCCCCGGAGATCTATTTTCGAAAAAACCCGTGCTGTTCGCAGTTGGTCGATCAGTTCGTCGGCGCGGGGGATGGGATATCGCGATTTAACTGTAACCCTGTTGAGCGCTCGGTAATCGATGCACATGCGAAACCCTCCGTCTTTTTTCGGTGTGAACAGTATCGGTGCGGCGAACGAAGGGTGATGAACTCGGTCGGATAAACTGCTTCTCTAACAAGTAATCTAACTGCTTCCTCAGTTCGTCGAGCTCGGGCTGTGTCAGTCTGAACTGACGCTGTACGGTTGGCTGTGCCCCCGGTTCTAATTCTATCCTATGATCGTGCGCTCGCTGAGGTGGCAGTCCCTCGGGTAAGTCGTCGGGAAAAATCCCTGGGTACCATTTCAACAGCTCTTGTAGTTCGGGCGGTACCGTTGCCAGCAGTTTCTGAAAGTCACTCGGCTGCTCTGCTTCTCCTGCTACTGCGATGTCTACTGCGTACACGTCAGCTCCAGCGGCGACTGCCCGTTTCATCGTGATGGCGTTGACGTGGACCGTTGAAGACTCAGGCGACTGCCAGCGTGGTAGTTCGACCCAGTTACCACTACTTCGCACAGTGCAGCTGCCTGTCGTCCAGTCAATTCTCAGGTTATACCGTCGCAGCCAATCACGTCCCAGTAAAATATCGTGCCCATCCAGCGTGGTCGCGAGCATTTCCTGTGTAAACCCGAAGTTCCCCCCGCAGCGAACTTTTACTCTTTCCTCCTTTTCCCGTATGGCCAGCGACGTGCCGTCAACTAAGCGTGCATCTATCTCAGGTAAGCATCGGCTGAGTGTCAGTTGTAGTTTTCGTGCTGTTGCGGTATTAACTAAACTATGGCTTGCTCCTCCGTCGATAAAAATCTTTACAGCTGCTCCCTGTATTTTCCCGTAGATCAGTATTGGGCGATCCATCGCTGTACCCTCCTTATTCATCCGAGCCCGATCGATGGCGTGAATCGGTACTGTGACTCGGTGAGGGTCGGTGCGGTTGGGCGAGCAGGCAGTCTCGTCAGTAGTTGGCCCAATTTCTACTGACTGCTGGCGTTTCCCTGTCTCTGAGACTCCCTCCCCTGCTCTGCTCCGCGGCGCCTCAGCTCCTCTGGACATTCATTCTTGCGATGGCCCGACCTATTGCAGGCAAAGCAGCGCCCCTTAAACGGCGCGGCAGCTGCATTCGTCGCAACGGCGTGTACGGTGGCGTGCTCGATCGGTCCCCGAGGACGATGTCCGTAGTAGGACCCCGGTCTCGGACGGCGCAAAATGTCGATTTTCTCGGCGAGCGCGAGAATCTCGTTGAAGTTCGAGAGCCCGCGTAGCATGATTTCGTGCGAGATATCCGGCTTCAGCCCTCCGACGTAACGGTCCACCCGCTCCGCTTCGTGCATGTAGCCGACCTGCTCGCATAATGCGAGAAAACCGCTCGTGTAGTCTTGAACCGATCCGAGTTGCCGCCAAGTGCGCAGTTTCTGACGCGCCGAAAATGAAAGCCGCGATCGGCTCGAAGCGCGCCCGAAGCCCTACGCACCACGCATCCCACGTGCTGTACTGGGCGGTTTCGCAGAACGAACTCCAGGTGACGGCTGGACCCGCGGGCCCTTCCTCTTGCGACGGTGGCTCGTAGGCGCGTGGCGACGTCACGATGACTCGCCACCAGTCCATGGCGGGGCCCCTCAGCAGCGAAACAGCGTATCGAATCTTTGCTGCGTCCGACTCGACGTAATTTGCGTCGAAGAAGACGTTCATCGTGAAGATCCACGATTGAACCGTCGGACCTCCACGCTGGCTCGGGTCGAAACAGGGCGGGCGCTGCGGCTTGAGTGGCATTGGCGCCATGATTGCTTGATCGCCACTTGTTGCCGCAAACTCCACGTGCCGACGGGCTTCGCGAGGCTCCTGAGAGCTTGGCGCGGCCCGGTTCATTCCCATGCCAGGCATTGGCTGGGCGGCGCTATCACTGGCTGCTCCTGAGCGCTGTCCCACGCTGTCGTTCTGTGTTGGTGTGCCGGACGAAATGACGATCGGCTCCTCCGATTGTGCAGGTACATTTTGTGGTGCTGGGGCGCTCGCCGTAGCTTGCTGACGCGCAGAGTCTCGCTCCGCCGTGAGTGTCGCGATTTCGAGCGCCGATTCTTCAACTTGGCGCACCAGACGGTCGAGTTGCTCCTGCGTCAGAGTCGCGAGATTGAATTCGGCCATGGCGGGGGTGTCGGGCAAGCTCAGCGAGAGCCTCTGTCGTGGCCGTGCGTGCTTACGAGAGAGCACTACGAGCGGCGGTGCTGTGTCGCTGAGAGACGTCTACCCCCTCCAAAAAATTGAGATAGTGGGAAAGCGAAGGTGTGGGTGCGGTCCGAGAAGAGATCGTAGGCTCTGAATACCAAGTGTTACGAGTGCAATGGAGTGAGCGAACGAGGATTGCACTATCGAAGCAAGAGTACAATGAGCGAAGGCATGAGCGAAGAATATATAGCGAAAACTACAATGGTAACGGTAATGTGTGGAAATTGGGGTGCGCGACGGGCCTAGCGCCGAGGGTGGGAAATGCCGAGGCGGAGGTCCGGAGCGCGGGTTACCAACCGAGCCGTGAGGTTGGGTCGCGGCGTGAACAGTGGCGGGAACAGTGTCGAGGCGAGTGTCGCGAGTGGTAACGGTGTACTGTTGGATGTTGGTGGCGGGAACAGTGGTGTACGCGCTGAGAAGGGACGCGGAGTAAGGAAAAGGAATTTTCCTTACAGTACGTCACAATAGTCAAGTTTATTGTTGTACTGTAGAGCCTTGTGCTTGACCTTGCTCATGTCCACCCATGTCAGCATGCCCTCCAGTGCTCTCACCTTTCTATTAATGTTACATCTTCTAGTTGATCAATTACACATCGATCAATTGAGCAAATCATAGTCATCAACCTTATCGTTGTACTGTAGAACCTTGTGCTTGATCTTGCTCGTGTCCACCCATGTCAGCATGTCCTCCATTGCTCTCGTCACCAGAAACGCCGGGTCCCTCACGGCTTCTGGGCCGATGCGCACATGTCCCTGGGGGAAGGAATAGAAAGAAAAGGAAAGGAAGCAGAAGAAACTCTGGGTGATGGGAGAGAAATTCAAAAGGCCGGGTCCCTCATGGCTTCTGGGCCGATGCGCACATGGCGCTGGCAAGGAGAGAAACAAAAGATTAGGGAAAAAAGGTGCAGGGGAGGAAGGGTTAAGACAGGAGCAACCAGAAAGGCTGGGTCCCATAGGAGGTGACCGATACGGTAGCGGGGGTTCAAGCAGGGTAAGACGGGAATAAGGGATCAGACGAGAGGAACCAGTTAGGCCGGGTTCCTCACACACATATGCACACACATACCCCCCCTCCCCCTCCCTCCTCCTTTCCTCCTACCTGCTGCACGAATGCCACTGCCTCCCTCATGTGCTCCGCCATCTTCAATCGCACCATTCTGCTGTGACCGCACCACACACTTTCACACACATACCCACACCTGAACACACCTGCTCAACCACACCCAACCCCCCCCCCCACCTGCTGCACAAACGCCACTGCCTCCCTCATGTGCTCCGCCATCTTCAATCGCACCATCGCCACTGCTAGCCTGCTGTGACCACACCTGCACACCCCTGCACACCCAAATAAACACAACTTTCCTACCTGCTGCACAAACGCCACTGCCTCCCTCATGTGCTCAGCCATCTTCAATCGCACCATCACCACTGCTAGCCTTCGTCTGGAGAGAGAAGAAACCAGGGAGAGTTGAAACCAAGGAGAGATGAAACCCGGGAGAGATGAAACAACAGGGATAGAACTTTCTCTGAGACCCATTTGTATGGGTCGGGAGCAAGGTCCTTGTGCTGACTTTTGAGTCGACTCAAAAGTCACTTTTGAGCTGACTTTTGAGTCGACTCAAAAGTCAGCTTTCTCTGAGACCCATTTGTATGGGTCGGGAGCAAGGTCCTTGTGCGTGGGAGAGCGCGACTTATCAATTAATTCTTTCTTGATAGAGGTTGCTAGCGCCCACTTTCAATCTCATCAAATAAACTAAACAACATTAAAAACAAGCAAACAAACCAAGAATGGCTTACCTGCAAAACGAGGAGACGGAGAGCTTATCGCAAAGGTTGAGGCTTTTCTGTGTGGGAATGACTCCCATGTTGTAGCTGGCGGGATTTGGGATGGGAGCAGAGAGGGGTAGGGCACGGTAAGAAGAGACTGTCTGGCCTTCTGTGTGGGTATAGACTCCCATGTTGTCGCTGGTTGAGGGAGGGGGGGGGGGGGGGGGGGGGGGGGGGGGGGGGGGGGGGGGGGGAAGAGAAGGGGAAGGGAATAGGCGAGCAGCGGGAGTAGGTGAAGGGATTGTGTCTGAGTCTTGTGTGTGGGTATTACTCCCATGTTGTATTTGGTGTTGCGGGGGGTTTGAAGTAGTGTTTTGAGACGTCTCAAAACACTACTTCAAACAAGTAGGTGGAGGATTTGTGCCTGCGTCTTCTGTGTGGGTATTACTCCATGTTCTATCTGGTGTTGTGGGGGGGACAAAGAAAGAGAGAAAAGAAAGTGACAGTATTGAAGGGAGAAAAAAAGAGGGGCACTGTTTGGCTTGTCTGTGTGGGTATGACTGTCAGGGCTTGCTAAGCGGCTGGTCAGTCATTTCGATCCGAAAGGGTTGGAGGGGAAAGAAGAGAAGCGGGAAAAGAAGGAGAGCAGAGGAAGAAGGGAAAGCGCTACTCGAAGCTTGTTAAGCAGCTAGTCAGCCGTTTCGATCCGAAAGGGTTGGAGGGGAAAGAAGAGAAGCGGGAAAAGAAGGAGAGCAGAGGAAGAAGGGAAAGCGCTACTCGAAGCTTGTTAAGCAGCTAGTCAGCCGTTTCGATCTGAAAGGGTTGGAGGGGAAAGAAGAGAAGCGGGAAAAGAAGGAGAGCAGAGGAAGAAGGGAAAGCGCTACCGAAGCTGGTCAGTCATTTCGATCCGGAAGGGGTAGGAGAGAAAGAAGAGAAGTGGGGGAACGGGAGGAGAGAGCAGAAGGGAATGTGCTACTCACAGCTTGTTAAGCAGCTGGTCAGTCATTCCAAAAAGAAAGGGGTCAGAGGGATCCAGTTTCTTGGGAGGGCACGTGTAAAAAGAGTGAAGTTTTGAGACGTCTCAAAACTTCACAGCTTGTTAAGCAGCTGGTCAGTCATTCCAACAAGAAAGGGGTCGGAGGGATCCAGTTTCTTGGGAGGGAGGCGACTCAGAACAGAGGGAGAAAGGTAGAACGAGAGGAGGGAAGGGTGAGGAGGGAGAGAGGGGAGGGGAGAGGAGGAAAGCTTCTCACAGTTTGTTAAGAAGCTGGTCAGTCATTTCGATGCGGAAGGGGTCGGAGGGATCCAGTTTCTTGAGCAGTGTTGTCAGCTTTGTGATTTTACCGCACAGCCGGTTGTACCTGTGGACTCGATACAAGCACGCGCACACACAATCACAAGCACACGCACACGCGCGCGCGCGCGCGCACACACACACACACACACACACACACAAGCACAAACATAGCATGAATTTCCCAGTTTCCTTGAGCAGTGTTGTCAGCGATGTGATTCTACCGCACAGCCGGTTGTTCCCGCAGTGCGGACTCGATACAAGCACAACACAACCACAGCACAAGCAGGAGAGCGCACAGGAACATCATGCACTTGTGAGAATTCTCAGCATATCATGTACCTTTTGCATTCTCACAATAAAATCCTGCTCCGCAAACCTACATGAACTTGGTTTCCCCCCCATCCCCCCTCCCTCCCCATATGTGACAGACTCAAAACCAGCACGCGCAATGTTTCCGCAAAGCCACCCCACATTAACCCCAGATCCCCACCCTTATTACCTCCCCCATATTCTTCCCCAAAGCCCCGTCCCGCTTCAAAACCCCGCCCCGCTTCAAAACCCCGCCCCGCGAACTCCAACTTTTACACACACCTCGCTTAACCGAATTGCGGAAACTTATGAAGAACAGACATTCCCCCATCCACGCCATCCCCCATCCCCAACAAACCCCCTTCCCAAACCTCCTCTCTAGCCCCCCTTCCCGCGTCCTGTAACGCCCCCCTCATTCTGGTAACCCTACTTGGAGTAATCGTCGCGTTCGGTGATGTGGTATCTTCGCATGACCTCCAGCTCTCGCTCGTTGCCCTCCGTCTTCCATTGCAGGAAATTCACCTTCCGCAGGAGCCGCTGCTCATGATACTTCAACTTCCTCATGAAGATTAGTGTCTAAAAGTGATCCCGATGTAACGACAGAATATCCGGCTCGTTATCGCCGTGTAATTTTCCAGATGCTTCAGCGGAACCCGACCTACGATTGAAGCCGCTTATTACTCCTAACACTACGAATAGCTACGCCTCGTAAAAACAAGGCGAAAGCCTCCAATTGGGTTGCGAAAGCGTAAGGACAAAGGAGCGGTTCGATGAACCGAAACGCGAACTCAGAGAGTCAGGCACATGTGGACCCTGAGACAAAATCACTAACCTTGAGTCAGGCACAACCTCAGGGTGACATTTCTGTCTGGGCGTTTTGTACAGTCAAGTGCGGTGATGTCGTAATGTGAAAGTAGCGGGTATATGGGCGAAAAATCACAGAGTTGAAATGTAAGGTGAGCAAGCATGTAGTAAGCAGTCATTTTGACAATTATCCGAATCACTCAATAACGAATCACAGTTGGACTTCACAGTGAAATTGCGTTGTCACTTCTGCTGCCATTCACTGCACCTCCCTCCTCCCCCACCGCAATCCCGCTCGCGTGTATCCTCCTCGCGGAAAAGCAGAAATGACAGAAATGTCAGGGCACACCGCCGGCGGAACTGACAGAAGCCACTGCCTCCGCAAGCCTTCAGCTCGGATCATCCAATTGATTTGAAACCGTCGATCTGTGTGCTTTGAACCAATCCCAAGGTCCACGAGCGACTGAAACTGCGTGCGATCAGACCATTGCCTGCAGAACAGCTCCAGAATGGACTTCCATGAATCTGCACCTGGTTTTTCGTCAGAAACAGATCACACAACACCAAACCTGAAGTCCGTCAATCCTACCACCGACTAAAATTTCTCAAGCTTTTCGCGTTCCTAACCAGACTCGAGGCCACCAAGTATAAAAGAAAGGACTCAGTAGACTACCTTCAGCAACAGCAGCACACGAAGTCCGTCCTGAAGTAGGTTCTGCAATTTTGTCTTTTGGTTAGCAGCCTTCTCGTTAATAGTATTTTACAGCAAGAACCATCTGAATTCCTCATTCAGAGCCGAGATAGCCATGTCGTTTGCAGGATCTATTTGGATTCCATGGATCCCTGCACCTGAAGACGAGCCTGAAGAGGCATGTCAGGGGTATGAGATCAGCCAAGTGCCTGATTTAGAGCCAGCATCTCCCCAGCGGACAAGATCTAAAGCATTTACAACGCTTTCCTCCACTCCAGAGCATTTTCCTGTTTTCACGAACAAGAAGCTTGGTCGTTCCGCTTCTCCTTTCAGAAGTGACGCAATGAAGCGAGTGAAGCGCGATGTCAAAAGCGAGCCACGCGCAACCAACGGTACGTGCCAGCGCGCGTCTCCGTCCAGAATATTCAGTTTAGCAGCTATTGAGATGAGATTGCGAATCTTTAATATTACTGATCCTCGTCTGAATGTCTTACAGGTGTCTGCGACAGATTCACGTCTTATTCGACGCCACCAGCTCTACAACGCAAAAGTCCCATTTGTCCAGCGGCACCTTACAAGGCACGGACACGGAGCATCTCGAAGCTGACCCAGACATCGTCGATTGATCTGAGCATATTGCATCGGTGGTAGCACCTACCTTCCGCCAGCAGATTTTCATCGCGAGAACTGGGTACATCTGGCTCCTCGGCAACGTTTTTTCGTGCGTACCACTATCAACACCTCTCCTTTTCCACGTCAGCACGCTTCGTACTGTTGCTGATTGGTGCAGCAGAAGCTGCTCACATGTGTAAAATACCTGACATGGCTGGGGAAATTCAGTGATCACTGAGTTATTGTCGGGGTTCCTATTTCTGTTGTTATTGACAAATTCTTCCTGCTTCTGCTGCCTCTATAATAGATAATAGGTCTGCTCAATCTGGATCACTCTATTCAACGTTTACAGCATTTACACTACGTACACAAATCTCCTACAGCCTACTAGTAGCTATGTAACACCTAGCCTACAATGAATCCGAGTAGGATCTTGCTGGAAGAAATTGCGGAAATGCAATCCTCAATAAGCGGTTCTTTGCTCATTATCAGCTGACCCTAGTTGAGAGAGCATGAGAGTAGTCTCTTCGGGATTTACGGCAGCAGCAGCGTCAGCAACTTGATTAGCAATTTCAGCTGCTTTTGAAAGGATCGATTCAGTCATGTCAGCTTCCCCTAGAGCCATTTCAGCTGCCTCGGCCGCAGTGTCTTCTTCCTGAACACCTGAATAATCTGCTTCTAGATCATCACCCTCTCCACGGATGATGATCTCACTGCTGGTGGTTTCAGTCATTCTGCTACTGCTGCTGCTGCTGCTGTCAGTACCAGCTTCGTTGTTGCTCCCAGTGTTACTGCTATCTGCTTCGCCGTTGCTGGCAGTCTTCTGATGGAAGAGCGAGAATTGAGTAAATCTGCAGTCAGGCGCGAGGAGGGAGGACGTGACGTAATCTTCTGGTACTCCCTCAAGCTCCCCTTCAGAAGAAGAATCCGAGGAAGGAACCAGCGGCATGGCCATTAAATGTGACAAAATGGAGTAGTTTAACGTGGGTTCTGACGTGGCGTTGGCTCGGTAGAATTGGCCCAAGAGCCCGTGCACAGTAGGGGAGTACGCCACATCGAGGATAGTCAGGTTGATGTGTGCCTCAGCGTCATCAGGTTCTTGTAACAGAGGGTGCACCCGACGAACGCGAACTTCCGCTTCAATCACACCCGGTACTTTTAACGCGTACACGTCCACGTCATACGGACCTTGCTTCTCGTACGCCGCAAGGAGAATCGTAGCCGCGCCATTAAATAACGAGAGTTCATCTCCCAACTGCTCAAAAGGGACGTTCGTCAAACACAGGAGGGAGAGCGAGTGGAAAATGGAAATGACTTCAGCGGATAGTAAATTGCTTGGGGAAGAGAGGAGACCCAACGCACTTGCACCCCCCCCAAACCGCACCCCAGGCCTCGGCATGGCATGAACGCAAATCCCTAGGGGCTTCGTGCACTCACCACTAGCTTCGGCATGGCATGGCCGTCAACTTCAATTTTCGCTACGTATCCGTCGCCCCGCTCCTGCTGCGCTGTCCTTCTCGCAGCCATTCGCAGCACGTGCTGAGCTTGTCCGGGGCCCCCTCTTCCCCACATTAGCGAAACATCGCGAATCCACGCGCGAACAACGGCCGGACGTTGTGTGCGCGAGTTACCGCCAAATGAGGAGGGGGTCGAAGCGCTGGCGCCGCGATTATCCATGTAGCCTGACAGTTGCATGTTGATGTGAAACGACGGATCGCTTATCAGGCAGAACGCGCGGTCCGACAGTTTCTCGTGAGCTACTGGTCCGGTGGGAGCCGCGCCGATTTTGGAGTGGTAAAGCGCGGGTCCCACTGCCCACTTGACGGCACTTGCGCCGTCATCTGCAGCGGCACTTGCGGCGGTGGTGGCGAGTTTGGATTCAGAATTGCAACGACCACCCACACTGGACAGGGTAGAGCAATGGAAAGAGAAAAGATACCGCAGAATTAGGACATTGACCGGAGGACGAGGATAGCAGGAGGAAGCACCAAGGAGGAAGGGATAAACGAAACAACATAGTGTCCTCTTCAAGACGAGAAAGTGACTGGCAAACGTGAACTTGGCAAAGTTGTGTCAGCAACTACGAGAGCGTAGACTCACTATGAGTTGGGTAAACCAGGAATGTAGACATTTGCGTCCCCACTACAAGCTCCTTCTGTAAAGAGGAGGCAGAGACCAGAGGGCAGGAGAAGGTTCCAGAACGCGCAGTCGCCGTTACTCCGGCATTGCTGGCAGCAGTCACCGGGAGTTGCGTTGGGCCCGAGATTCACCCCGTTCGGTGCGGCGGCGAGACGATACTGCTTCGTGCCTTGCACGGTGAACTTTCCCTTGTAAACGTATCGTCCGCATGTGTCTTGCGTGCATGCTGATCTTCCGTTCGCGAAATTGGGACAGTTGTTAGCGAGGACGACGGGAAGAATGGCCAGGAGGGCGATGAGGGAGAGAGAGGAGGCAGATAAAGCGACTCGTTTATCCATGGCGAATTGCGTTGTGTTCCTGTCGACAGGCATTCGTATCCCCTTTGGTTTGGAGTGTAACGATATGCTAATCGAGGTACTCTGTTCTACTTGGGCGGTAGAGTCGGCGCAAATTCGGTCTCACATAGGAGTACCTGGTCGGACATATATGTATTGCTTGTTCAGGCGATGGCGCCAATGCTTGGACAACGGGGTGTTGGTTCTATCAACTACGAGTGTTGGTCATCTCAATTGCTTTTGCAGTGGAAGTGCTCACCAGCAGGTGGCCAGGCAGGAGTGCCTGCCAAGCTTGGTGCGCCACCCGCAATTGGTTTTTGGTTTCATGCGGTAGGGTGGGGTGGTGGGGACTGGGGGGAGCAAGTCTTGGCTGTGCAACTTTCGCATTTGGCTCTGAAAGTTGCGAGCCCCGAGCCGCATGCAGGCCTGACATGTTATGCGCTTCGTAAGGGTTGATTTTGCGCAGACTGGGTGGAGGGGGATTTGGATTTTGTCATTTGGGGCTGCTGACTGCTGCGAAAAAAATGTCAGCAATAGCGAAGCGGGTGAGGAGAGCCGATGGATGCTCGCTGAAGCAACGTCTATTTCGCCGCGAGGCTCACGAAAAGCGTATGATTTTGGCTGGCACAGCACAACAAATCACCGCGGGCGCGTTACCACCAGATGTCCAGGTGAAAAATCCCGAGGTGCGGGCCGAGCCAAAACTACCTATGTACGCGCTAAGGTGCTCTCAGCTCCGTTTCGTCTTCTGCATTGAAAACGCACCGCTCTGTAAGGATATATTCTTCATAAACCTTTGCGCAGCAAATTCCTTGGTGCGCTGGCAAGACGGGCACGACTAGATGGACTTTCACCGCCTGTGCACAGTGACGATACTGATCGTCATGTCCCGCACAGCAGGTTTCATGTTCTTCCCACCCTGACCAGCAAGGCATCAGCTGCGAACGAACTTTCGATCAGGCAGGGATCTATGGACCAACGCAGACCGTCAGATGCTACCTGTGGTTTCTTGACCGTCGGATGATTTCCGAATGCCCAGGCATAAAAACGTTCTGCCTGTCTCCGGGCACGCCGAACAGATCAGGGAAACTCCGCCATCTGTATACACAAGATGCCCAGCCCCTGCAAGCGAATTTGCCCAGCCCACGATGGAAACTCTGCACCCGTGTATTAGGGTACCAGCCAGTTGCACCCCATTTACAAGCACCTCGAGCAATACGAACCACAAAAACCGAAGTTTGACAGAAGAGACCCATGTCAAACGGTCAACAGCGAGTTACAATGTAAAAAAAAAAAGCCCTTTTTGCTAAGTGCGAATTGACGAAAGCTTAGCGAAATGCAAGAATCAGTTAGGAGCCCTCTTTACAAGGCAAACTTGGGTTAGTCAAACGGGCATCGTGTGTACTCTCCGCTCCCTGCTATTTTCCCCTCCGTCGTCGGCCGCCATCCTTCCCCCCATGCCCCTTTTCCCGCCACCTCCCCGCAACTCTGCTGCTTTGCAAGGGAAGGTCTCATCAGGTGGATCAGCAGAAACAGTTCCCGAGGATATAGGAGTCAGAGGGTAGTGAGCTGGGCTAGGGTTTCAATTTTGAGGTAGGAACGACAATCTAGAGTTGGTGCGTTTCGTTAGGAGAAGGGCGAAGAGGCGAAAGGCGTCTTTTCGAGTTCTGGGCCTGACAGGCCCAAGCGTTGGCGAGTAAAGCTCTCACAGCTTGTTACCTACACTGTTTCAGGGCGATATGTATTGGTGTGCTTAGCTTCTACCTCCTCTTTACATATGAGGAGGATGGTATCTCGTGGGAAAATGAAGATGGCATAACAGTCATTTGTGGGGTGCTGGTGCTGTGTGCACGCAGCGTGTTGTTGCAGCTGCTGGCGAGGCGTCTTACCATGGCTGCAATGGCGGGTTTCACGGCTGGTTCTACGGGTCTCTCGTGTTGCATACAGCGGTTGTCTGTGGGAAGAGTTTCGTTGTCGTCGGAAGTGGCTGGTGGTATCAATTCGTCGAAGTCGCGGAGAATTGCATCTTCTAACGCTCCCTGCCTCCAAGCTTTCTTCACGAAATCCATTCGCGTTCACCTCTCCCGCCGTAAGGAGGGAGAGGTAGCCGCGATGGGTCTTCGCGCGTCAGCTATGAGAAAAGGGGCGCAAGGGAGTGCAAGTGTATCATACAGCAATGAGGGCGGTGTCAATGAAATAAATGGAGTCGGGCATTCTAGCAGCGATTTCTGGAGAAACATCTTTCAGGCTCGGTCGTTTTTGTGCTCTTCCTTGAACGGCAAAACCGCCTTGGAGTCCTGCGGGCCTGTTCGGGCTTCTGAGGCGGTTTCACTGTCCAACGAAGTGCGAAATTCTGGCAGCCAGGTTACCAACAGCCTTGACTTCGCAGACTTGAAGGAGTCGGCGAAGGGTGCGATTGCCTCTCGGCAGTTTATGTGGCTGCCTGAGTGGCTTCCCTTGTCGGCGGAGGAGGCTAAAGCGGCGTTTGCGACGTTGGCGATGTCTCTGATCTTTCGCTTCGTCGCCGAACTGCGGTTCATTCCGTCGCTTTCCATGTATCCCACGCTTGACGTGGGGGACCGAATCGTCGCAGAAAAGGTAAAGTCAATGTGTCCATGAAGGGTTGCTTGTAAGTATGAAACTTCTGAAGAATTTGTGCGATTTGGATTAATGTATTGACTGGGTGATCGATCTCTCTCATCGATGTGCAGGTTTCATACTATTTCAGGAAGCCTGAGGTCGACGATGTGGTCATTTTCAAGGCCCCCAAGGCCCTGAAGGTATAACAAGCATCCTCTCTGACTCTGCTTTTCTGATTCAGCTTTCCTTCGCAATGCCCTATTGGTGCTCGCCTTCCGTGCTACCCACCTTATCTGAATCTGGTTACCATGTGTGCCATTTTGTGGCGTTGATGACTCGCAGAAGCATGGCTACAGTGAGGGCGAGGTGTTTGTGAAGCGAATTGTTGCCACTGAAGGTGACTTGGTGGAGGTGAAGTACGGGAGGCTGTTCGTCAATGGCGTTGAGAAGGACGAGGATTACATATTGGAACAGCCTACCTACAACATGGAGACCCAGGTAATTTCCTGTCAACTGGGCAACAGTTGCAATCGGGTTTGCTTTCAAGGCTTGCCTTGGTGCTCGTTTCGTCTGATCTCTTTTGTTGCACCTAATCATAAATTTTGGCGGTTGTACTCTTACCCACCTTTCTCCGATCATGTGTCCCTGCAGTACATTCCATCTGGCCACGTCTTTGTCATGGGCGACAATCGCAACAACAGCTTTGATTCTCACACATGGTACTATGTCTGTTCGTACTGAGGCACACCCTTATGCATAGCTCTGATAACTGCAGCTTGCACTGAAATTTGTGGAGGTTCCTGACTTGACCCTGGTGTTGATGTTGCTTGCCTTGCAGGGGGCCTTTGGCTGTGAAGAACATTGTTGCTAGATCCGTGTTCATTTATTGAATGAACTGTTTGCAAACTTTAGTTTATTATATGATGTAAATATTTGCATTTGTCAGCAAAAGGCATTTACTTGCTGGAAGGGGTGCCACATCCAGAATCTGCACTTTTAACTGGAACGCAGTAGACTAAGGTGGTGTCACGTTTGGAAGGCTATTGTTCTGTTTTGTTTGTTTTGGAAAGTTTTGTCGACCCTGCTGAAATTAGAAACCAGGATTGTAATGATCGTACTGGTAGTTAGGCAGCCTAAAACAGTGACCTTGGGAATATAATTTCTATCTGGTCTCCCAGTAACGAATCTTTCTGGTTCTGTTCAGTTTGGGTTGTGTGGTCTGCCTCATCCCGTTCAAGTGGCCACGTCATTCCACTAATTCGTGGCTAAACGACAGTTCGGGTGGGGCAATCCCTTCGACCGAGGAGAAAGCTGACACTACAGCGCCGCCAATTGGTCGCTCGGCCTCGGGTTTGCTGTTCAGCTTCCGGGGTCGTTTCATTGGACCACGTCAATCCTCGTGAGCTCTCTTCGTAGAGTCGTATGCGCCGCCAGCTGGGCGTGCGACCAGTGATCGGAAAGCGGCCATTATCTCCGATACTCAAATTATGCCCGGAGCGTTTTTCGTTCGTACTCAACCTGTATTCCTCATCGCCGATTGGCTCTCGCTCTTTAATCACACTTTCTACGCTAATAATACTGTTGAAATGTGATAGAAAAAGAACGCGGTTACTGAACGCAGTTACCACATTAAATTACGAAAAATTGTATCAAGCTTTCGATGTGAACTTAAAACTCGCGACTCATATTTGCAAACGTTCTACACTTATACCCTGACGTTTAACACTTGGCTGGTTTGCTCGCCCGTGATTGGTGAAGCAAAAAAGTTACCCCAGCTTGTCATAGATTTTGTAGTTTGCCAACCAATCACGGAATCCTAAATCCAACCAAGTTTTCAACAGTTTTAAATTTGAGATGAAATCTTTCAATCCATATCTACGCGCCCTTGGATCGGAGCTTAACTTCTGTAAAGAACAATAAGTATATTAACACTCATTAAAAAACTGCAGGTAAAAGCGAAGACATCAACCTTAAAGATTTGGTAGCTTCCTGTATTTATGTTTGATTTTCCCAAAGTGTACTCAGTTTATCTAGGATAGTGTTTCACTTTATATCTTGTTTTGTTTGCAGGGGTATGTGCAGGTGAGGTGTTAGTGGCAACTTTGTTTCAGTTTTGTGCCTATAACGAAATAAAACAGTATATGTGAGCAATATAACGAGAAATTATTGGTTGAGTACGAAAGAAAAACGCTCCGGGCATAATTTGAGTATCGGAGATAATGGCCGATCGGAAAGTCGCTTGCGTGTCGTGCCGCGTCATCGAGTGGTCTTCCCCCCAGAACTCCCGCAGGCAATATGTACCATTTTCAATGCGACGCAATCCTTTGCGTCGTTCGCCACGGTTTTCTCGCTATCTGGACGTCGTCGTCACTCATGATATTTACCATCATCCACCAGCCACTCTCCAACTCACCCCATCCATCCTGGGAGCCCACGCGGTTTAGTAAGGTCGTATAGAATTAAACATCGGTTCATTTGGTTTTCAGAGCGGCTAGGTGGGGTTTTGCATCACGGCGAACTCCACTACTTCACAAACTTCCATTACTTCCATCAACCCCAAGGCCCTACAAACTCTCTCCCGAGCCACTTCGAACCCCTCTTTGCAGCGAGTCTTGATATTCTCCTCCACGGGTTTCCCTCTCACCCACCTCGGGATTCGTGGGAAGTGCATTGCCTACTAACCTGCTCGTAAGCGTCGAAGCAGCGTCCAGTAATTTCGCCAGAAGCAGCACGTTCATTCTTACGGCCTACTCTCCTCCTACTACCTTCTCAGCCTCCAGCTTCAGCTGAGCGTGTCCAGCTTCCAGCTTCGCGTGTCCTCTCATTCCTTAGCCGGCATTCGACTGGATGCAAGTGCTAACTTATATGGGCAAGCGAGGGTCTGTCTGGAACTAGGCTTTCACAGAACGCGATTCCTGGCGGTGGCTTGCGCTTCAGAGCTTCGTCCTCGATATAAGCTCGTCTGAGGTGGCTGCGGGAGACGTGGACGTCCATCGCGCTGCTCGTCCTCTTTCCTGCTGAATTCATTCTCGCTGAGTAGGCCGGTAGCTGCATTTGCCATTTCTGGGAGAAACGCAAGATTGAGATGATGGCATCAGCGATCAGCCGCACACTCAGCGGATGCGCATCCCCTGCCGTTCAGTCTGCCACGTCATGTTCTGCCACGTCAGCCTCCTCTGACGGCAGAGCGTACAGCTGCGCGTGCCAGCAGACCGCGCGACGCGTAAGGAACCACAGCGGCATTTCAGCTTCGTCTTCCCAAGTTGGAATCTCTTTTCTTAAGAGAAGTGACCTCGGCTCCTCTCTTCTCCTAAGCGGCACGTCGCTTGGCCACAGTAACACCTCTTCGCGGCAATGCGTTTCGCGAAGACATATCTCGGTTACCACTACCGCGACCGGCCCTGAAACCGTAACTGTTACAGCTGTCGACTCCGCCACCACCACCGGGGGAAATGCTTCCGGCTCTTCCGCGGATGCTTCCGCTTCCCCAGAACCCCCGCAGCTCTCCAAGCCCGTTCTCGTGCGCCCCGCGCCAGCGCAGCCGCCCGCAAGACCCGCCGCGCCCGCCGCCGGCGCACGCGGCGGAGCGAGGTCGTGGGCCCCGAGGCCCGGAGTAGCGGGGGCCCGACCGAACGGGGGTGTCGTCGCAAGCGGGAAGAGTGTTTTTAGACCGAGGGACCGCGCCGCGCGCGCCCCGGGCCCGGACAGCGCGGGTGTGGCGGCGGTGCAGAATCTAAAGGAGATCTTGGAGAAGGCGGAGCGGATGGGGAATGGCGGAGTGGCGGGGGGAGTGGACGGCGGTGTTGCGCTGAATGGATCATCCGCGGGAGTAGGGGAGAGCGCGGGGGAAGGAGAGGGTGGTTCGGGTTCTGACGTGGAAGAAATCGTGCTCGTGCGCAAGGAGGCGCCTAACGGGGCAGCTAGTGACGCAGCAGAAGAAACCGGGGAGAGCGCCAGCGTGGACTCCGCCGATGCCGAGCCTCCAACGGTGGTTCGGCCCAAGCCGGTCAGGTTAGACAGGCCGAAGCTGGATCGCCCTGTAGCGTCGTTCAGCCGCCCCGCCCCTCCCGCGCAACCGGCTCCGGCACGCCCGGGCGTGTACGTGCGCGGGCAGGCGCCCGCCGCTGGCGCAGGCGGAACGAGCGCAAAGGAGAAGCTGGCGTGGAAGCCCAAGGGTTCCGCCGACGCCTCGTCTTCCGACGATGAACGCGCTTCCGCCGCTTCCGCGGGCGCGGAAGGTGCTCCGCGCAGGGGCCCCATTCTGCGCGATGCTGGGCGGAGAGTGCAGCCCGCCGCTGAGGGTAGAGGCGGAGCAAGCGCACTCGGCGGAGCTCCTTCCCCCGGGCCTTTCGGGGCTCCGGACAGGGCGCCGGGACGAGGCGGGCGGAAGGACACGCGGAGGAGAGGCGGGGAAGGCGACCGCGAGGGCGGGCCGGGGGCGGGACGGGGGAGGCGTGGGGGGAAGAGCGCAACGTTGGCGGAGCAGGCGCGGGGGAATCGGAAGCAGAGCAAGGCTTCGCGCAGAGCTGCGCGTGAGGAGGCCAAGAAGGCCGCTGCGCCTGTTCAGGCGGAGATTCTGGAAGTGGGGAAGGAAGGCATGAGCGTGCAGGAGCTGGCGCGAGAACTCGCGGTTAACGACTCGGACGTGGTCAAGGCCCTGTTTATGAAGGTACGACCTGGGGACGGTTTGACTGATGCGGGAACGGGTTGTTTGTTCTATGGAGAAAGGGTGTATGGGTGATGGAAGGAGGGCATGAGCGTGCGTGTGTATAGGGTGTGCGCTGATTATACATTTTCTTTGCGTTATTGTCACATCCCGTTATTATCACATTTCCGTTACAGGGAACTGCAACTCTGCAACTACAGTACACCATATTCTTGACGAGTATGTGCCAAATACAGGGTGGAGGTTCTTGATGCGAGCCCTAAATGATTTATCTCGTTATTGTCACACCCATTATTATCACAGGGCATCGCGACTACAGTAAATCAAGTTCTTGACGAGGATACAGTGCGCATGGTGTGTGCTGAGTACGGGGTGGAGGTTCTCGATGCCAGCGAGGCAGCTGTGGAGGAAGCTGCCAGGAAGCAGCGCGAGTTTGTCCAGGAGGAGGACCTGGAGCACCTGGTGGTGCGCCCGCCTGTTGTGACTATAATGGGCCATGTGGACCATGGCAAGGTGAGACTATAACGAGAAATAAATTATGCGAATTATTGGAGTTAATCATATGTGAACATAGAAAGAATGGCAAGAGGATCTGGAGTACCTGGTGGTGCGCCCCCCTGTTGTGACTATCATGGGACACGTGGACCATGGCAAGGTGAGGTTCTAGGGGGGTAAAAAGTGGTAAGAGGAATTGAGAGGTGAAGATCTCTCTTTGACTGCATTCACTAGACCAAGGTGGCAGCAGGGAGGGAGAATCACCTAGGGCATAGGAGCCAACCAAGTCAGGAACACGAAGCATCCAGTTACTGTCGTGTCGATTCAAAATTCAATTCACAAGATTAAGGTAGCAGCATGAGAGGGAGGGAGAATCACCTAGGGCATAGGAGCCAACCAAGTCAGGAACACGAAGCACCCACCCCATGCCCATGTTTTTTGAGAATTCTCAAAAGACATACTCCCATGCACCTCCCACTCCCCTCCCCCCATCCCCTCCCCCCATCCCCTCCCCCCATCCCCTCCCCTCCCACTCCCATCCCACCCCTTCCACTCCTCTCCCCCTCCCCCTCCCCTAGCAACAGACCTCTTTGCTTGATTACATCCGCAAGACCAAGGAGGCAGCAGGGAAGGCAGGCGGAATCACACAGGGAATCGGAGCCTACCGCTTGTGGGTGGGTGAATTCTCAATGTCTCCCCTCTTCCCCTATCACCCCACCCACTCTTCATCCCCTCCCTCGCAACAGACCTCTCTGCTTGATTACATTCGCAAGACCAAGGTGGCAGCAGGGGAGGCAGGAGGAATCACCCAGGGGATCGGAGCCTACCGCGTGTGGGTGCCCTACGCTGCTGACTCAGACGCTGACTCAGGCGCTGACTCGGATGCTGACGTGGAGGATGAGAACGAGGCAGGGCTGCACACGTGTGTGTTCCTGGACACGCCAGGTCACGAGGCGTTCAGCGCCATGCGGGCGCGGGGGGCGCGGGTGACGGATATAGCGGTGATTGTGGTGGCAGCAGATGATGGGGTGAGGCCGCAAACTACAGAGGCTATAGCCCACGCCCGCGCTGCAGGCGTCCCTATTGTGGTCGCGATTAACAAGGTATGTATATCTCTAGAACGAGGGTGCATATGTTAGGTCAAGGGGGAGAGAGTGGGTGACGGATAGCATTGTGTTCCTGGACACCCCAGGTCACTAGGCGTTCAGTGCCACGCGGGCGCGTTTTGAGACGTCTCAGGGAAGGTCAGGATGCATATGGAAGGTCAGGGGTTGAGGAGAGTGTGTTCCTGGACATGCCAGGTCACTAGGCGTTCAGCGCCATGCGGGTGCGGGGGGCACGGGTGACGGATATAGCGGTGATTGTGGTGGCAGCAGATGATGGGGTCAGGCCTCAGACCACTGAAGCTATAGGCCACGCCCGTGCTGCTGGCGTGCCTATCGTGGTCGCCGTCAACAAGGTATGGCTATAATGAGGACGGGTATGGAGGGGGGCGTGGGCGACGGATATAGCAGTGATTGTGGTGGCAGCAGACGATGGTGTGAGGCCTCAGACCACTGAAGCTATAGGCCACGCCTGTGCTGCTGGCGTGCCTATCGTGGTCGCCGTCAACAAGGTATGGCTATAATGAGGACGGGTATGGAGGGGGGCGCGGGCGACGGATATAGCAGTGATTGTGGTGGCAACAGATGATGGTGTGAGGCCTCAGACCACTGAAGCTATAGGCCACGCCCGTGCTGCTGGCGTGCCTATCGTGGTCGCCGTCAACAAGGTATGGCTATAACGAGGACGGGTATGGAGGGGGGCGCGGGCGACAGATATAGCGGTGATTGTGGTGGCAGCAGATGATGGTGTGAGGCCGCAGACAACTGAGGCTATAGCCCATGCTCGTGCTGCTGGCGTGCCCATTGTTGTGGCCATCAACAAGGTGCGTGTATGTCTTTATATCAAGGATGCATCTGGAAGGTCAGGGGTTGAAGAAAAGGCATTTGACGGATACAGTGGTGATTGTGGTGGCAGCAGATGATGGGGTCAGGCCTCAGACCACGGAGGCGATTGCTCATGCCTGTGCTGCTGGCGTTCCCATTGTTGCTCTCTCCCACACTCAGATGGACAAGGAGGGGGCGAACGTGGACAGGGTGATGCAGTGCAGGAGCTGGCAGCAGGAGGAAGGCACGTGTAGTGAGGGTGGTTTTGAGACGTCTCAAAACACCCTCACTACACATGCAGTGCAGGAGGCAGGCTCATGGACTTGACCACTGTCTCTCTCCTTGTCCCTCCCCCTGTCTGCACGTGCAGATGGACAAGGAGGGCGCGAACGCGGACAGGGTGATGCAGGAGCTGGCAGCGGGAGGGCTCATGTCGGAGGAGTGGGGAGGAGACACGCCCATGGTGCCGGTGAGTGGAACTCTGTGTGTGACTGTAACGAAATGCATAGGCGAAGTCACACTCATGCTCTTTATTAACGCACCCATCCTTTGTCTCATCCCTCCCTCCCTATCACATCCCTTCCCAATCGTCTTCCCACGGCTCCAGGTCAGTGCAAAGTCAGGCCAAGGAGTGGACAGCCTTCTGGAGACGATCATGCTCGTGGCCGAGGTAAGGGCGAAGGAGAGGGGAAAGGAATGTTGCAAGGGGGGGATGTGTTGATCCTATCAAAGAGGCAAAGACGGGCCAAGGAGTGGATAGCCTGCTTGAGACAATCATGCTCGTGGCTGAGGTGAGAGTATGAGAGAAGAGAAGGGGGGGGTTGAAGCAGGGGTGTGTGAAGGGAATGGTAGTGTTACATGTGTCAAGAGGCTAAGACAGGCCATAGGAGTGAGTGGATAGCCTGCTCGAGACGATCATGCTGGTGGCTGAGGTGATCGAGAGAGGGGGCGGTTGGAGGGGAAGTGTTTGTAAGGGAAGAGAGTGTCGAGGCGAGACGTCTCAAACTCAATGACAGGCCAGGGAGTGGTCAGCCTGCTCGAGATGATCATGCTCATGGCCGCGGTGAGAGGGAGCTGACTTTTGAGTCGACTCAAAAGATGATCATGCTCGTGGCCGCGGTGAGAGGGAGCTGACTTTTGAGTCGACTCAAAAGATGATCATGCTCGTGGCCGCGGTGAGAGGGAGCTGACTTTTGAGTCGACTCAAAAGATGATCATGCTCGTGGCCGCAGTGAGAGGGAGCTGACTTTTGAGTCGACTCAAAAGATGATCATGCTCGTGGCCGCGGTGAGAGGGAGCTGACTTTTGAGTCGACTCAAAAGATGATCATGCTCATGGCCGCGGTGAGAGGGAGCTGACTTTTGAGTCGACTCAAAAGATGATCATGCGCATGGCCGCGGTGAGAGGGAGCTGACTTTTGATTCGACTCAAAAGATGATCATGCTCGTGGCCGCGGTGAGAGGGAGACACTGGGTGGATGTGTGTTGGCAGGCAATGTATTGGACGAGAAAGAGGGGCGAGTGAGTGAACAGATAGCCTGCTCGAGGCGATCATGCTCTTAGCCGGCTGAGGTAGGAGGTGCTGGAGGAGAGTTGCTGAAGGAAAAGATGTTCAGAAGAGAAGGGGAGTGCTGGAAGGCCACGTGTATGAAGATTTGTTTTGAGACGTCTCAAAACAAATCTTCATACACGTGCTCTTAGCCGGCTGAGGTAAGAGGCGCTTGGAGGAAAAGATGTTCAGAAGAGAAGGGGAGTGCTGGAAGGGGAAGTGGCCGAACGAATGGAAAGAGAGAGAGCCTGATTTGAGATGTCTCAAAAGCCGCCTCTCAATCTCACGAGGCACAGACTGGGGTTTTTACATGGCACACACAAGTCACTTTGCAGGAGTGAAGTTTTCAGTTGACTCAAAAATCGCCTCTCAATCTCATGAGACACAGACAGGGGGTTTTTGATGGCACACAGTGAAGTCACTCTTCACTTTGAGTTACATGGCACACACAAGTTACTTTGCAGGAGTGAAGAGCCTTCTTGAGGTGAGTTTTGAGTCGACTCGAATGTCAGACGGCACAGATTCAAGAGCTGAGGGCTAACCTTGGCAGCCAGGCAGCAGGCACGGTGATAGAGGCGAGCCTCAACAAGTAGAGGGGGGCGGTGGCACTGAGACCTCTCCCCTGACCCCTCCTCCCCCCCTCTTGTGTCAAGTGTTTTGAGACGTCCCAAAACACTTCTTTACACACCTGGACAAGCAGAGGAGGCAGTGGCACTGAGACCTCTCCCCTGACCCCTCCTCCCCCCCTCTTGTGTCAAGTGTTTTGAGACGTCCCAAAACACTTCTTTACACACCTGGACAAGCAGAGGAGGCAGTGGCACTGAGACCTCTCCCCTGACCCCTCCTCCCCCCCTCTTGTGTCAAGTGTTTTGAGACGTCCCAAAACACTTCTTTACACACCTGGACAAGCAGAGGAGGCAGTGGCACTGAGACCTCTCCCCTGACCCCTCCTCCCCCCCTCTTGTGTCAAGTGTTTTGAGACGTCCCAAAACACTTCTTTACACGCCTGGACAAGCAGAGGAGGCAGTGGCACTGAGACCTCTCCCCTGACCCCTCCTTCCCCCCTCTTGTGTCAAGTGTTTTGAGACGTCCCAAAACACTTCTATACACACCTGGACAAGCAGAGGAGGCAGTGGCACTGAGACCTCTCCCCTGACCCCTCCTTCCCCCCTCTTGTGTCAAGTGTTTTGAGACGTCCCAAAACACTTCTATACACACCTGGACAAGCAGAGGAGGCAGTGGCACTGAGACCTCTCCCCTGACCCCTCCTTCCCCCCTCTTCCCCACGCTTTCCAGATTCAAGAGCTGCAGGCGAACCCTGACAGGCAGGCGGCAGGGACGGTGATAGAGGCGAGCCTCGACAAGCAGAGGGGGGCAGTGGTTGTGAGACCCCTCCCTTGACCCCCCTTCTTCCCCACCATCCCTTCTTCACCCCTTTTCCCCCATTCCTCGTTGCTCTGCTCCCCTGCAGATTCAAGAGTTCAGGGCGAACCCTGACAGGCAGGCAGCAGGCATGGTGGCTCTGAGACCTCTCTCATGACCCCCTTCTCCCCCATCCTCCCACCCTCACTCCTCTTTTTGAGTCGACTCAAAAATAGACCCCCCTTCTCCCCCACCCCACCCTCCCACCCTCACTCCTCTTCCCTGTGTTGCAGATTCAAGAGCTGCGCGCCAATCCTGACAGGCAGGCAGCAGGCACGGTGATAGAGGCGAGTCTGGACAAGCAGAGGGGGCCGGCGGTGGTGGTTAATACATTCCTTCTCCTCCTCTCTCCCATCCGCAACTTCCCTCCACTCCATGCAGATTCAAGAGGTCAGGGCCAATCTCGACAGGCAGCCGGCAGGCACGGTGATAGAGGCGAGTCTCGACAAGCAGAGGGGGCCGGTGGTTGTGGTGTGATGATGATGCTGGTGCTGGTGTTGGTGCTTCTGGTGGCGCTGTTCTAACCCCTCCAATTGCTGCTTGCTCCCATCCCTGTGCTGCAGATTCAAGAGCTCAGGGCAAACCCTGACAGGCAGGCAGCAGGGGGACGGTGATAGAAGCGAGTCTGGACAAGCAGCGGGGACCAGTGGCACTGAAATTACTCCCCTGTCCCCCCTTCTCCCTTCTCCCACCCCCACCGCACTTCCCTGTGTCGCAGATTCAAGAGCTGCGCGCCAATCCCGACAGGCAGGCAGCAGGGGGACGGTGATAGAGGCGAGTCTGGACAAGCAGAGGGGGCCCGTGGCAGCTCCCCACATTTTCCCTCTCCTTTCTCTATTTCATAACCCCCTGCAGATTCAAGACCTGCGTGCTAATCCGGACAGGCAGGCAGCAGGGACGGTGATAGAAGCAAGCCTGGACAAGCAGAGGGGGGCAGTGGCAATGCTGTCCCATCCTTCCTCTCTTCCCTGTGTTGCAGATTCAAGAGCTGCGCGCCAATCCGGACAGGCAGGCGGCAGGAACGGTGATAGAGGCGAGCCTTGACAAGCAGAGGGGGCTGGTGGCAACGCTGCTGGTGATGGTTGTGGCAACGCTGGTGCTTCTAGTTGGGCTGTTTCAACCCCGCTGTTCGCTGCTTCCTTCCTTCCCTGTGTTGCAGATTCAAGAGCTGCGCGCCAATCCGGACAGGCAGGCGGCAGGAACGGTGATAGAGGCGAGTCTTGACAAGCAGAGGGGGCCGGTGGCAACGCTGCTGGTGCAGAATGGCACGCTGAGGCTGGGAGACGTGGTGCTGTGTGGAGAGGCTTATGGGAAGGTGAGGCTGGGTTGGGTGGGATGAGAGGAGGAGTAGTGGAGAGGAAGAGGGGGGCGGGTGATGGGGGAACATGAGGGCCCCTGACGACGCTGCTGGTGCAGAACAGCACGCTGAGGCTGGGCGACGTGGTGCTGCGTGGCGAGGCGTATGGGAAGGTATGACTTACCGGGGTGGAAGGGAAGGAGAGGGATATAGGTAGGTAGTGGGTAGTAGTGGGAACAGACAAGCAGAGGGGGCCGGTGGTGGTGCTGTTGCTGGTGCAGAACAGCATGCCGAGGCTGGGAGACGTGGTGCTGTGTGGCGAGGCGTATGGGAAGGTGAGGCTGGGAGGGAAAGATGTATGTGGGCGGGGGGTATGTGGGCGGGGGGTATGTGGGCTGGCGGGGGGTATGTGGGCTGGCGGGGGGTATGTGGGCAAGGTGTGTTGGTGCTGCTGGTGCAGAACGCCACGCTGAGGCTGGGAGACGTGGCGCTGTGTGGAGAGGCTTACGGCAAGGTGAGTGAGTCTGTTGAAATGAATTTGAGCATCGGGTAATGGGCAGGCCGAGAACTTTCCTGGTAGTTTTTTTAGTCGACTCAGAAGTCATGGCGTACGGCAAGGTGAGTGAGTCTGTTGAAATGAAAATGAGCATCGGGTAATGGGCAGGCCGAGAACTTTCCTGGTAGTGCTGTTGGGAGGGGCTTATGGGAAGGTATGACTCGAACCGGGGGGGGGGAGGGAGGATATGAGCAGCGGGTAGTGGGGGTAGTGGACAAGCTCCCCACTCGCCTGCACCATTTTCCAATGCCTGCGGCCATTTTTCCCCTCTTCCAATGTCAGATCCCGAGCTCTTGTGGACGACACGGGCAGCCGCAGCGACTCCGCTGGGCCCTTCCCTTCCACCCTTCCACCCTTCCACCCTTCCACCCTTCCACCCGCCCTCACCTCTATCCATCCCTCCCCACTCCCCTGTGCTCCCCTCCCTCTGCCTCCTTCCTTCTCTCACCCTTCCCGCCCTTCCTTCTCTCACCCTTCCCTTCTCTCTGTCAGATCTGAGCTCTGGTGGACAACACGGGCAGCTGCAGCGACTCTGCTGGACCATCTCTTCCACCCACCCTCACCCCTCTCCACTCCCCTCCCCTTCATCTCCCACTGACAGATCCGAGCTCTGGTGGACGACACAGGCAGCCGCAGCGACTCCGCTGGGCCTTCCCTTCCACCCTTCCACCCGCCCTCACCTCTATCCATCCCTCCCCACTCCCCTGCACTCTCCTGTCTCTCCCACTGACAGATCCGAGCTCTGGTGGACGACACGGGCAGCCGCAGCGACTCCGCTGGGCCTTCCCTTGCTGTGGAGGTAAGCCGATGGGGGAGGGCATTATGTGAGCATGTATATTTATTTGTGATAACGTATCTGTGTCTATGTATGTATGTAACTAACGATATGTTTTTGTGTCTACACACTTCTATCTTCCCGCTTCACAGGTGCTCAGTCTCAGCTCCGTGCCAGTAGCAGGCGACCACTTTGAAGTGGTTGACTCGCTTGACCAGGCCCTTGGCGTTTCCCCATGAATATATATGAACGTTTCTCTCCCTCTCCCTGCCCCACAATAGGTCCTCGGTCTCAGCTCCGTGCCAGTAGCAGGCGACCACTTTGAAGTGGTTGACTCGCTTGACCAGGCGCGCTCCATGGCCGAGGAAGCTGCCGCGAAGCTGCGCACCGCCAGGCTGGCAGCCCTGCAGGGCGAGTCAAAGGTGTCGCTGACTGCCCTGGCAGGGAGGGGGGCGTCTGGAGGAGCGGGAGATGGAAGCGACGGGGATGAGGAGGGGCTGGAGTTCCACCAGCTGAACGTGATTCTCAAAGTGGATAACCAGGTGTGTGCATGGGTCTTGTGGGGTTTGACTGGCACACATGGGCCAGAATAACAGCCCTGCAGGGCGAGTCTAAGGTGTCGCTGTCTGCGCTGGCAGGGAGGGGGGCGTCTGGAGGAGGAGTGGGCAGTGATGGCAAGGGGGACGAGGAGGGGCTGGAGTTCCACCAGCTGAACGTGATCCTGAAAGTGGATAACCAGGTGTGTGCATGGGTGTTGGTGTGTGGGGAAGCAGGGGACGGGGGCTATGATCAGGGGCACCAGCGATGGGAGATGTAGGGGACAGCGATGGGGATGGGCTGGAGTTTCACCAGCTGAGCGTGGTTCTCGAAGTGGATTACCAAGTGTGTCTTGTGTCCGAGCATACAGGGGCGTGATAAAAGAGATGTTTTGAGACGTCTTAAAACGTCTTGTGTCCGAGCAAGCATACAGGGCGGTTAGTTTTGAGGTCGTTTTTGAGGCGCCTCAAAAACGACCCAGGTGTGTCTTGTGTCCGAGCAAGCATACAGGGCGGTTAGTTTTGAGGCGCCTCAACTCTGGGGATGGGCTGGAGTTCCACCAGCTGAGCGTGGTTCTCGAAGTGGATTACCAAGTGTGTCTTGTATCCAATCATACAGGGCGATTCAGTCGCAGCCCTGCAGGCCGAGTCGAAGGTGATTCTCTCTGCCCTGGAGGGAAAGATTCTTATCCATTTAATAGGGGCAGGTGGCAATGATCAAGGGTACAATGATGATGAGGGGCCGGAGTTCCACCAGCTGAGCAATGATATCACCTCTCTCCACCTCTCTGTACCCCTGATCCCTCTCCTTCACCAGGACTCCCTTGAGGCAACACAAGAGGCACTGGCAGCTCTGGTGTGAGGCCAGGCCAACCAAGTGCTATGATGATTCACTGCACTGCACCCTACTCGCATCTTTTTACATTGTTTCGAACCCCTCTCTACCGTTTGGTACCCCTCTGTATCATCCTTCTCCAGGATGCTGTGAAGGCGATCAGAGAGGCACTGGCAGCACCGCCACAAGACACAATGTTGCTGCCTTCGCATCCTCCTCGCTTCTCCTCACCCTAAGCCCATCCTCCTCTTCACTCCGCCAGGTCAATGTTGCTCAGTGCATCCGCCTCACTCCTCTCCACCGTTTCCCACCCCTCTCTGTCTCTCTCATCTCGCAGGGTGCTGTGGAGGCGATCAGCGAGGCACTGGCAGCGCTGCCCCAAGTCACAATTCGCTGCTTTTGCTTCCTTCTTACTCCTCTTCACCGTTCTGTACCCCTGTCTCTCTCATCCCTCTAGGGTGCTGTGGAGGCGATCAGAGAGGCACTCGCAGCACTGCCCCAAGACACAGTGTCGCTGCGATTCCTGCTGCAGGTGAGATTCGTTATAAGTGGGATTCGCAATAAGGTGAGATTCGCTATAAGGTGGGATTCACTAAAAGGTGAGATTCTCTGTAAGGTGATAGCATGCCTGGTGTAGCCATATCAATAGTTGCCTCAAGACACAGTGTCGCCAAGGTTCCTGCTGCAGGTGAGATTCACTATAAGGTGAGATTCGATATAAGGCGAGGCTTGCTATCAGTGAGATTCGCTCTCCCTTTACCCCATTCCCAACTTCGCCTTCCCCCGTACCTGGCCCCATCCCCCTTCCCTCCCATTTTGCCAAACCGCAAATTTCATCCCATGGCTTCCATATAGGCCGCTGGTGACGTGGCACTGAGCGACATTGACCTGGCGGTTGCCAGCGAAGCGGTTACCAGCGAGGCGGTTGCCAGCGAGGCGGTTGCCAGCGAGGCGGTCGTGCTGGCATTCAACGTGGACATGCCGCCCGCTGTGCAGGCTGCTGCACTAGCTTACTCCTTCTTCCCTAGACCCATCTTCCCCCATCTCTCCCTTCCCCATCCCCTCCCTCACTCCCCTCTCCCCTCCTCCTTTCCCTCCTGCCTCCCCATTCTCCCTCCTCTCTCCCCCCACCCCCAACCCCGCACCCCATCCCTTCCCCCAGGCTGCTGGTGACGTGGCACTGAGTGACATTGACCTGGCAGTTGCCAGCGAGGCGGTCGTGCTGGCGTTCAACGTGGGCATGCCTCCCGCTGTGGAGGCAGCAGCCGAGGAGAAGGGCGTGGAAGTGCGGACGTACCGGGTCATTTACGATCTGATCGATGATGTTCGCAAGGCCATGGAGGGTCTTCTTGATTCCGTGGAGGTGAGAGAGTGGGCATGACAGAATGTAGGCTTGTTGGCTTGGCTCCAAGCAGCAGAGAGAGGTGAAGGGCGTGGAAGTGCGGAAATATCGGGTCATTTATGATTTGTGCAGCCGATACATCCGCTGGGTCATGTAGGACGGGCCTTGAGTCGCCTTACAGGGTTACTTCTCTCACACTCTTCGCCCTATTTTCCCTCCCATCCTACTTCCCTCCCTCCTTCTCCTCCTCCTCCTTCTCCTTCTCTTACCCCCTTTCCCTCCCAAATTTCCCTGTCCCCTCACCCTCGTTTTCCTCTTCCTCCTCCTTCCTCCCCTTTCCCCTCTCTCTCGAAATCCAGGAGCGCGTGCCTCTAGGCTCGGCGGAGGTTTGGGCTGTGTTTGGTGTGGGGAGAAGCAACTTGGCTGTGGTGATGGTGACTGAGGGGGAGCTCGTGAAGGGGTGTTGTGGGGTGGGCCGAAAGTCACCTTTCAAGGCCTTTTGTCTCACACCCTTCACTCTTCTTCCGTCTCCTCCCCTTCCCTCCCTCTTCCCCCCCCCCCCCCCTCTCCTCTTGTCTCCCCTCCTTGAAACCCAGGAGCGCACGCCTCTAGGCTCGGCGGAGGTTCGGGCGGTGTTTGGTGCGGGGAGCAGCAAGGTGGCTGGAGTGATGGTGACAGAAGGGAAGCTCGTGAAGGGATGTGGGGTGGCGGTGATTCGAGGGAAGAAAGAGGTCTTCTCGGGTACACTCACATCGCTGCGACGAGTCAAGGAACTCGCTAAGGAGGTATGCTTGTAACGAGTACAAAGCCTGTTATTGTTGTAATGAGTACGAGCGGAGCTAGCTTTGATCTAGTAGAAGTAGTGACGAGTGGAGGATTCTACTGGCTCACAATTCATTCTTCCCCCCCCCCCCCCCCCGGCCCCTTCCCTCTGATTTCCCCGAATCCCCAACAACAGGTGGTTGTGGGCCTTGAGTGCGGCGTGGAGGTGGAGGGCTTTGACGAGTGGCAGCAGGGCGACAGCATCGAAACATTCACTCTCTGCCTCCCTCTGAACCTTTATGTACCCCTCTGCATCCCTTTCTTTCTACTCCCAACCACCAGGTGGTAGCAGGGCTGGAGTGTGGTGTGGGGGTGGAGGGCTTCGACGAGTGGCAGCAGGGCGGCAGCATCGAGGCATTCACTCTCTGCCTCCCTCTGAACCCTTATGTACCCCTCTGCATCCCTTTCTTTCTACTCCAAAACACCAGGTGGTAGCAGGGTTGGAGTGCGGCGTGGGGGTGGAGGGCTTTGATGAGTGGCAGCAGGGCGACAGCATCGAGGCATTCAATTTCCACATCCCTCTGTATCCCTCTGTATCCCTCTCTTCCTACTCCCATTCAACAGGTTGTGGCGGGGCTGGAGTGCGGTGTGGGAGTGGAGGGCTTTGACGAATGGCAGCAGGGCGACAGCATCGAGGCATTTGAAGTGGTGCAAAAGGCCCGGTCCCTCGAAGATGCTTCCAAGGAAGTTTCCAAAGCCGTGGCGGAAAAAACCGAGTCCATGGGGATTGCGGTCAGCGCAGCGTGATTTCAGGAGGGATGAATGGGGTGGGGAAACGGGTAAGGGTTAGGACTGGTGGGTGGAGGTGCCTTGAATAAGATGCGGGTATGTCTACTTTTGGGTCTGAATTGGCATGTTGCGGATTGTGCCTTTCGCCATGCTTGGAAGGTGTGCCAGTTTCTGATACATTGGGGATTAACCTTATTATTATGCAGTTATGACCACATTCTGGTATCTACCTGAAATGGAAGTTTTGCCTTGTCAGTCAGCACCTTACACCCATCATTGCTTGTGCTTGCCAAAATCGTTGAATTAGATTGGTAAAAACAGCATGGTAAATCGAGTGAGCACTAAGAAAATTCACACATACACACACACACACACACACAAGTACACTAGCTGACAAAATTCGAAAATAAAAAAGGGGTTTTCAAATTAGTATGCGGCTTGAAGCTACGTCGAAATTCAGTTTCCGCGACACGATGCGACACCTCTTGGTCTTAGCCATCGCGACAGCAATATCCCCCGACCTGCAGTATCCCGGCCTCCGCTTCTTCGGCGCCGCAGGCGGCAAGGTTTTTGCTGACGTGTCCGCTTCAGAAGGAACGCCGGACGGGGGAGGAGAATGCCATTCTGCGGGCGCTGGCGACGGACACGACGGATGCGACACTCCAGGCGACAGATACGACCCTCCAGGCGACGTCGCCACGTTCGTCGCGACGGAGGCGACGTCGCAGGACGAATCCCGCGGAACTACACTGCCGCTTGAAGAAAATCCGAAGCTTAACTCTCGTACCGCGCTTCGAAACTTAACCATATCTGAAATAGCAGCGAGCCGCGATCGGTTGTATAGCCTCCGCTTCATCGGTGCCCCCGGGCAAGACCTCGCCGACTCGTCCGCCTCAGGCGGCGCGGGAGATTTAGGTGCCGGCGACGATGATTGAGAAGCTTCAAGCGACGTCGCCGCGTTTGAAGGGTCGCTGCCGGCTTCGTGCGACGATTCAAGGCGGCGCGAGAAACTAACGGGTTCTTGGATGGCTTTATCATGAAATACTCCGCCGGTCACTGATATCGAGCCGAGCCGCCCAATGCCGCCGCAGTTATCTTTCGACGGGCCTCGAGCCGATTCAAATCCGACGGCCCTTAAAGCCGATTCGACGCAAGCCGCGGCGCTCCCCGCAGATGACGGAATCTGTACCGCCGAAAGCGCTTCCATCAGCAAATGGCTCTTGATTCGTCCCAAGCAAGTCAATGCCGGCGCCGCGGCGCTTCCTTCTGCGACGGGAATCTTGGCTTTCTGAGGATTCGATGAATTGCCGCAGAGTGAAGCGGTTTGTCGGGCTGTTGCCTCTTCAAAAAACTCTTGACAACTGGCGGCTCGCGGTATGAAAAAAGGAGGCGATACTTTCTGGGTAGTGGCGATTTGGAGCGCCATTGTTGTCAAGCTAGCCTAAGCAGCTGATGTCGCGAGTTCGCCTCGCAAAATGCAAGCGAATCGTAAATATGTGTCAACAATGTGTTCAACAGCTGTGTCTCAGCAATGCTGAAGGAATCTCAGTCTCACCTGAATTCAAGCTTACGGGTTACCTAATCACTCCTCAGAGCTGCAGGCAGTGCTGCTAATCGAAATCTATGGTGGCTGTATGATGGTGTGTGTGGCAGTGTGTTGGTTGAGTTGAGGGAGGATGGCCGGTCGGTCATGGATGACAGGTCAAGAGGGTGAAAGATTCATTTTGCGTGAGTCCCGGGCAAGGTCAGGCTGATAATGGCGGACGGTGGTCGTGGGGTTGGGTTAGTTTAGGATGTGTTAAGCTGGTTTGGGTTCGGCTTGGTTGGTTTGAAATGGGTGTCGATAGAAGCAGGTGTGATGTGAGGGTGCGGGGTCCAGTTCAGCAGCACACAGCAACAGTCCGGTAAAGTGGGACTAATGATGGTCCGATTTACAGCTCAGTACAGACGCGATTCAGGCGCTGTAGTATCGTCGTGGTGACGACAGCGAAGACATTCCCCAAGAGATTGTGCCGAAGCGTTTACAGCCAGGCGATCTGAATGTAAGTTTGGGGGAACGCATATTGCTCACTTGGGAAAACGCTCACATTACCCGCAAGGAGCGAAGAACAAGCATCTTATGTGGCAGTTATGAGGTGTTTCGAAAATATTTGAGAAACATTAACATGGTTGACGAACAAAATACGGCGACGGGCAAGCAGACAGTTGTGTTCCCAAACCAACGGAGATGCAGCGCGTAGACAGTTGTGATTCCTGAAGGCGGAGGGTAGGCGGAGATGTGCGGACTCCATCTGTCCTTTTCCAGCAGGCTGGCTTGCATGTCGGCATTCAATATGACGTGTGTTGGGAGCGGGACCACATGGGTCGAGTCATGAGTGCGGGTCACTGACCTGGCAGGTCACTTGATTCGAATTCTGATGGGGCTGGTTGGAATTGTAGATAGGACGGATGCGATGGGATGCGTGGAAATGACGGTCCGATTTCACCCGTTTCACAATTCTGCCACGCCATCCCACGTCGTTGGGCTAAAGCCCGGATGTTGGTCCGATGACGTGTCAAGGGGAGCCGCTGCTGATGTAGTTTGCGGGGAAAGGGGGAGAGGGAGCACCCATGTGGGTTCGCGGAAACTGTACCTCCCCCTGCCTTTTGAGGGGGTTCACATCACATCACAGCTGTGGCACTGCCACTCCACCATGGCACTTTGCCTTGAAAAGATCTGACACCAAGGAATGTGAATCGCGGAGTGAAGAATGATTCTCCCCAGATCTGGTTGCCAGCTTCGTTCTGTGGTGTAAATTGCGAGAAGGATGGTCACTAAAAAACAAAGGAATGCATCGCGGAAGCACACACGAGGCTCGAGGCTCAGGAGTACACTAGCTTCTTTTAGGGGACAAATCCGCTGTGGCTCTCTCTAGCCGTTTTCATCATCTGTAAAAACACAGCAAAAATATTCAGGATGTTCTGAAACGATATTTCAGATATTCTTCTCACATTCCTTCCTTTCCTGAACTGTAGCGCCACCTAAACAGGCAGACGACCACACACTACGCGAAAAATATCCTCCAGCTTGCATGGTACTCCGTCTCCACACACCCTACATTCTAGAATTTGGAAGCACTCCGTCTCACGTGCAGTATTGCTTCTTCACTGGTCCAATGAGGGGCCAACATCATATACATGCAAATTAGTCTGGTAACCCTATTCGATGGTATGCAAAACCGTCGATACCCCAGTTCTGCTTCGCAAATTTGTCTGGTAGCGCCACATAAAACACTGTGTAACAGCTGATGCAGCACAAAAAGGATGCAATGGGTGAAACAATCGATTGCATTTTTAATTTCTTTTCATAGTTTTTTTTACCGCGCTTTGTTTGATGCCTAACAAAGATTCCTGCGGGCAACAATTTTCCGTTAAAAGTGCACGATAATTTTAACAGGAAAATCCGTCGAATGAAAGTTAACGGTGTCATTTTTGTAACAATATATTGCACCCCATATATTGCTACCGGGTACTGTTAGGGCAGGCAAGAAAAAAATAAAACCCCTAGGGACCTGGACTCCTTTTAGGGAGGGATCAACCCTAAACACGGGAAAGGCATTGTATTTAGGGTTGATGCCTCCCCAAGTGCATCCCTTTCCGACCGGGTTTTATTTTTTCTGTCAGGTATAGTGAACAGTGTTGCTCAACTGGCGGAACAGTTGCCCGAATAAATTGAAGTTTAGCGGAAATACAAGCGCGGTAGAAATCAGTTTGTTGGTTTAAAAGAATCGCGATACTACGGCAATATGTCAATACCTCCAAAATCGAGGTATCGACGGTTTTGCATACCATCGAATAGGGTTACCAGACTAATTTGCATGTATATGATGTTGGCCCTCCAATGAGCGGCTTCTTCACGCAACAAAGCAAAACAAAATTCTCCCGCTCTCGATTGGTCGTGGATCCCGTGAGACAAGGCTGCATTTCGTGGATCAAATATCTCCGTTTGAGACTGGAAAAGGCGTGTACTTTTTCCGTCCGGACCGTATGCGAATAGGTACACATCCCGCTAAAAGTCAGGACCCCTCCAAGGTCGTTATCGAATTAAAGATCATGCGGGGATTCACGAAAGTAGGAAACCCGTTTCGCAACCTCTCCGGACGGAATTTGTTTCAGCCCTAGGAAAGTTTACACAACGCAACCAGGTAGATTCCAAATATGTTGTTCAACTGCAAGCTTCCGTAGTGGACATTCTGACTATCTAATTAACAGCCCATGGTTTACACATACAGTACATGCGAAATTGCTTGCATGTATTTAATTTTCCCGCCGAAAGGCTTGTTGGGGCATTCTCCACGTCCCTTGTCGTGTCGCGCGTGACTACAGAACATGAGGTAAACTATCCTGGTCGTCACAGAAACCAACCTCACCTGTCATGGCTTACGATTCGCGGGCTCGTTCGCATCTCGGTGTCTTTTCCCGCCACATCGCACCTCAGCCTAATGAACTCGTTCATCCCCGCCACAATTCCCGGTTGCCTTGTATCGAAACTGACACTGACGGATCCTTCGGCCCATCCTTCTTACGCTCGGGTGCCTCCGCACAATCCCCGCTATTGAGTCGACTGAAATGCCCGCTGTTGGCTTCTACGGTTTGTTTAACTGATGAAAGTGCGTCCACGCATTCTCCGCTCATTCGAATTTCAACCTCTGCCTCTATCGCCAATCTCCTCGCCAATTCCGTCGCCGACCAATCAGCCACACGTCACACATGGCCGTCATCCTCGTTAAGCAGAGGGGAAGGTTTTAAAACGGGTAGTTTAACTGTGAACGATTGGTTACAACTGCAGCAAAAGAAATTGCCAGCAGCCTTGCGTAGAAATTCCGAAATTCAAATAGATTCAGCAACAGCAGCAGTAGCATTAGCAGATAGAGCAGAAGCAACATCAGCAGAAGCAGAGGAGGAAGCTTCCCGAGACAATTCGCGAGATTCAAGCCACTCGTCGCAATCAAGCTCCCCTCCTGCCGAGCCTGTAGCTT